CAGATTGGGTGAAAATGATCACAGGTGGTATTGCAGGGAGTGTAGCAGAGGCTATAACCATTCCAATTGATACAGCTGTATGTTATTTATTAATATTTAAAAATAGAAGGTACGTCTTTAAATCCAAAAACCAGATACAAATGGAAAATACAGATATCATGGATTATTAGATACAACTAGGAAAATATATAGTGAGGAAGGAGTTTCAAGTTTATTTAAAGGTCTTACAGCAGGAATTTAGAGACAATTGGTGTTTGCATCAATCCGTATTGGATTGTATGAACCTGTAATAAATTATATTTGAATTTATAGATGCGTGATTTCTTCTGTGGAAAAGATTTCAAAGGAGACCCTCCCCTGTCTAAAAAGATATATGCAGGTCTAGCAACAGGTGGAATTGGTATTTCAATTGCAAGTCCATTTGATGTGATAAAAGTGAGATTTTAAGTAGATGGAAATCTACCAGTTGAATAACGTCGTTATAAAAATTTAACAGATGCATACATTAAGATTTATAAATAAGATGGGTAATAGATAATAAAATAATTTAAGGTTGCATGGATTTTGGAGAGGAGTTACTCCAAATATCATTAGAAATGCTGTGATTAATTGTGCAGAATTAGCTACATTTGATCATATTAAGGAATCTTTAATTAAGACTGGGTTATTCCATGAAGGATTAACATGTCATTTTGCATCAAGTGCTTGTGCAGGATTTATTGCAGCAGTTGTTGGATAACCAGTAGATTTAATTAAGACTAGAGTTATGAATCAAAATGTTGGTGTTTTAACTGTTGTAATGAATATCATAAAAAATGAAGTAAGAATTATAAATATATTATTAATAGAAATTGTTAAATCTATATAATGGATTTTCAGCAAATGCAGGTAGAATTATTACATGGAATATTTGCATGTTTGTTACATTAGGTTAAGTTAGATTATTTGCATTAAATAATTTCTATAAATCACCTGAATGATTTAATTATATATATATATAAATCATTAAAAATAATTGAATAAGGTTTCTATTTATTCTAAATTAAATTAATGTTTAAGATTATCACATTTAATCTTTTTTTGAATTCTTAAATTGGAGTTTCTGTTTTTTTCTTATCTAATCTAATATCTAATAGAAAATCTATCCATCATTCATATTAGATAGAGGCAATATCTTAGGTATTAAAATGAGAGAAGATTTTTAATAAAAACTAAATTTTTTAATAAGTAATATCCTTATGAGTTATAATCAACAATATCTTCATAACTTCTAAACCATAAATGATTTATCTATTCTTGAACACTTTTTATATGGAAGTTTTTAATTAAAGGATTATAATATGATTGAATTAATTGTGACCATTTATCAATGTTTTTCTTTTTGTATTTCCTTAATTTGATTCTTCTTTTCAATTAATAATTATTATTATGGATTTAATATTGATAATTTTTACACTTGGGTATTTGGTGTAACATGCTGGGGCTTACTTTTTGATTAAATACATTAATGAGAAAAAGAATATTTAAGGATTAGCCTTAGAAACCTAAGTGATGTATTTTATTGGAGCTGTGATGCGAATACTCTATATCAGTGATACCAGATTATTAAGCTTCTTTTTAATTTGGATTGAATTGGTAATCTCTATTGTATTGAGTGCTTACATCTTTTATCTTTTTCATAAATACAGGTATATTAATTTTCATTTATTTATCATAGACATACACGTTTCCATTAAATATCAAATCCATACTTTTCATATCAAACTATTATCCCTATTTGTTTAGTATTATCATTCTTTTTCCATCCTGGAACAAAGAATGAAAATTATTTTACAGTTCAAATGTTTGTATCAATGAGTATGTTTATTGAAGCTTGTGGCTTATTGCCTCAAATTTATGTGAGGTATATTTGTTTAGAACACTAATAGCAAAAAAATTGGGTCTATTGAAGCTGATATATCAAAATATCTTGTTGCCATGGGATTTTCCAGACTTTTAAGATTAGTCTTTTGGGTTATGAATTATATGGCTGGAGAGAAGTTTGTATATTTGATACTTGCAGATGTGATACATACAGTCATAATTGCTGATATAATGTTTCTTTGGGTTAAAGATAAATAGAAGGGAGCTATTTTAATATGAAAACGATCTGTTTAAATAAAATTAATTGTACATCATTATTTCACAATATATTAATAATTTATAAATTATTTACTTTTATTTTGATTGTAACATATTAAATAATTACCAAAATATATAAGTAAGTAATCATTCCAAAGATCAAATCATATGTCTGACAAGAATAATAATTCATTATACTAAATTAGAAGAAAAAGCACTAAAATCAGGAGTTACAACACTAAAAAGAGATCCTTAATAGAATGAGTCTCCATGAGGGTAACTACTACTGTTATTTTTATTTTAAAAAGTGAGCATACTCATTTTTTTTGATGATTCCAATTTATCTAAACCACTGATGATTTCAAAATCTTCAATAAATTTCATGTCTTAATGTAAGGAAGATGATTCAATTCTTATTTCACTTTTATCAACATTCTATTTTTCACAATTCTTACAGATTTATCCCATATATGTATTTTTTATAAAATCAAATTATAATAATAAAACCATATAAGAAATTTCACTTTTAATCTCAATATTAGATATTATAATTAATATAAATTATGAAATTAGTTTGTTATATATCATTTTAATTATCAAATCCAAAATTAATAGGATTCCAATTATCAAACTCATTATTTATTATATAAATCATAGTACTGACTTTTTTAATAACTCATATTGATGACAACCTATAGTCTTTTCAAAATTTTAATATCTAATCATTTTTATTTAGTGTTATTTTCTATTACTAAATATTATATCTTTGGTAAATATAAGATTTTTATTGATAATATATTAAATTTTAATATCAATATTTTTGTTGAAATTAATTAGTAATGAATAATTAAATACATCTTCCATATAAGCATAAGAACAATATAATTACTCTAATATCTAATATCTAATCTATCAATGAAAAATCTTCCCATTTAAATAAGACAGATTTATATCATGTTAATATTTTAAGTCTTCATATTATTTTTTTATTCTTCTAATACCAAAATTATCTATAATATTTTTACATCTAATTATTCATATTTTCTTTCTTTTTTTCTAAGAACCTACTTATTATAATTAATATATTAAATAATTAAAAATCTATATATTAAATAGGAATCATAAATAATAATTTTCAAAGTTTAATCCTCCATATTCTAGAGAAGAAGGGTTTTCTATGAATTGTTCTTTTGTTTACTTTGTCCAATTTTCTTCAGACATATATTCAATACTGATTGCTTTTTATTTAAAACTAGCACTTATTGTTTACCAAGCAAATCTAATCTCTTCTGGATAAATAAAAACAGGAATGCTGACTTTAGATAGAAATTCTCTTGTTAGTTTATCTGATGGATAACCAGATCCCATTTATCCAGATGGATAAATATCTTATTATATTTATAACAATCTAGCATTTCTTTCTTACATAGCTACTATTTATGCTGCAATTATTGTTTAATGTATTCCTACAATAAATTTTAAGTCATTATTTTCAAAACCAAGACCCTTTTTTAAAATTTCATTCAAATTTTCTTTGAAACCAATTGGATTAATATAACATTCTATCTATTAAAAATCGAATTGCTACCAATAATTTTATATCCTTTTGATAGTATATTTTTAATTAGTTATATTGTGTAATTTAAGCTAATTTCATTTAAATCAGAAGGAGTATATGCTAAAATTTTGGTTGATAATTTTTGGGCGCTAATTTCTATAGTTTCAAATTGCAATGCTTTGTCTTTAAGTTTAGAAATAATTTCTGAACTTTCAGTTTAATTTTAGTAAAATTGTTTATTGAGTGATAAGGAACATTGTTTAACAATATAATTATGATTATTGATTGGCCAAAAGCATCCTGCAATTATGATAGGTCCAATCAGAGGTCCACGACCTGCTTCAAAAATACCTAATATCCATTCTGAATTAGTTTTAAGATCTTCTAGATTTTGAGGAAGTTCATCTATAGAAATGTTATTATTTACATTCATAATTGAATTTAACTATAAATTATATTGAATTTGTTAAACATTTTTCTACTTTTTTTAAAGTAATACCTTTATTTTTAATGATTAATAGAATTGAGTAACATTTTTTAAAGTAAACACTAAGTTTTGTAATTTAATAAATATATTAAAACAATAGAAGAGATTATTATATTTTTTTATATCAAATAAATTATTACTTTTTTTAAAATAATAGTCTCCCCTAAATATTATTTAGATATAATTAAAAAGAGTTTTACTTTATTTCATTTTATAATAGATTGTAATAAGAATCACTTTTACTATTATTATGCCATATATAATTACAATTTAATATAGCTTTATTGGAAATTTAAGAAAAAAACAGTCTTACAATTAATTAAATTTTATATATTTTCAGAGTAATACAGAATAAATCCCATTAATGATTATTTTAATAATAATTTTATTTTTTTGATAAATAATATAAACATAATTTTATTTAAAATGAAAAAAGGAAAAATTCAAACACAATGACACATTACTTTCAATGACTTCTAATTAGACTACAAATTTAATAAGGTTTGTCTAATTAAGTAATTAATTATAGACTTAAACTTGCAGTTAATATTGGAATAAAGTTTAAAAAAATATTTATATAGTTTTATAGATTAAGTATATATTACTAATGTTTATTATTAATATTGTCTTTTATTTATTTTTAAGTTTTATAGAAATTCATTATGTATGGATAAAAATTTATTTTATTATAAATAGAATATAAAGTCTTTGAACTGCTGATAGGTATCAGAAATAGATTTTATTAGCAATTGAAAATAAGTACAATTATTATAATATTGGGATTGATAAAAAAACATTATAGAAATTATATATATATTTAAATATTATTCTTAAATGCGTTAAAACAACTCAACTAAAAGGACAATTGAAAAGTAAAAGAAGCTTTTAATAAAGAAAATAATGAGCTGGGTAAGATAATCCTTCAATAATCGATAAATTGGATTTCATCCATTTGTTTTATGTGTTTCAATAAAGCCAAGTATTAATCAAAGATGTGCAACAATACAAAGTTATCCAAATTAGGAGCTATGGAAAAGTTTACATTCTCTCTAAGATTAAGAATTATTGTAGTAAATTATTCAGGAAGTATCTGAAAAAACATTTAAACTAAAAGAAAAATATGATTATTCTATTATATAAGAATTTTTAAATAGAATTAAGAACAACTTTGATTTTTGTAAGTTTTATAAGGATACTTAAGATATTAATTTTGATTCAGATGAACATGTCTCAAACTCTACAGAATTAAATGAAAATTTTTAAATAAAATAATTCTAGAAAAGTGAAAGTGAGTCGAAGTAATTACTCCAATAAATTGAATTATGTAATTCTAAAAAGGGTTCAATTATTACTATTGAAAAGTAGCATTATCATAAACTTTCTTAATTATTCGAAAAAATATGTTTAGTACCAAAATAATTATAATCTATTGAAATGAAAAAATTTAAGAATTAATTATAATTACTTTTAGAATCTACTTAAAATCCAAAAGAAAAGTAAATATGTGTTTAAAATGAATTTCAAACTGAAAAAGTACCAAATTCTATTCAGAATTTAGACATATATGTCGATTAATTAAAAAATAAATTTCAATAAGAAATAATAGATGAAGTCTTACAAATAGCTCCAGGTCTAGTATTATTCCTTCCAAGTTTCGAAAATACTTAAGTTAACAATGATGAATTAAAATAAGTTGAATAAGATTTCTTCTAAGAAATTCTCTATTAAAAAATTATGGCTCCTCAAAATTTAACTCCTTAAAATATCATTTTTGCTTGGAGATATGGCTTCGAACCAAAAATTAAAGAAATACTTGATAAATTCAACAAAATAAAAACTGAATGAGTTCCTAAATTTGTATATAAACTATAAATCAAATTTTATTTTTAAGAATTTTTATTAGAAATAGTTGATCTATATATATATATCGATTGATTAATAATATATATATATATAAATTAAAAAATAGATAATTTTTTTAATAGATTTCTTTTAAATAGTATTTAGAACTAATTTTAAGAAATCCCTAGAAATTCTATTTAATTTATACTCTAGATTAATTTCTTATTTTAAGTAAGTATTTAATGATAAAATATATATAACAGTTTCTTAAATTATATATAAATTATCTAGAAAGTAATGGATAAATTTGGTACTTCTTTTCAATCTGTTGAAGGGCCAACAGATGGACCTAATCTAAAAAATGCCAGATTAGTGGGAGTATATATTGGTGCTAAATGGAGTTAACCATGTTAAAGATTTACTCCATCATTGAGTAATTAATTAAGTTATTGAACAGTTGAATTTTACACAAAAATAAATGAAGACATTTAATAATTAGAAATAATTTATATAGGAATGGATGAGAATGAAGAGAAATATAAGGAGACAGTGAGTGATATGCCTTGGTTATTTTATGATTTTAAAGAATTTGTAAAGTATTAAGTATATTATGAATATAAAAAACATATATAAGGTATTTTATAAAAAATATATATAGGTATACCTTGTTTACTTATTTTGAATCCTAATAATGGTTAAGTGATCACAAATCAAGGGAGAGGGACTATAGAAAAAGAAGGTTAAGGAGCTTTTGAGAAATGGTTAACTCAGATGAGCTTCAAATGATATATATAAAAATAATATTTTTGGATACTATTGTATAATCGTATTCAACATTTCAAATAATCTTCCAAACTTTCTTAAGCATATTATCCTGTTTTTGCTATGTCAAATACTTTCTAAAATTGCTAATGACACTTCGCATTCCTTTGACTTAAAATATAGTAAAGATTGTATACACTCCCAAAAAGCAATCAATGAATGATAAAGCACTATCTTTGCAAAACTCAGGTTCAACATGCTTTCCTAAAGGTGTTGATCTGCAGAGATTGAAACTTTTTCTTTGATCTTTGCATACCTGATTACCTTTAATTGAATAGATCATCAATGATAAACTAGATAGTATATTAATAGATACTGAACCTTTCATCATTTGTATATGTATACAAATCTTTTGCAATAGCTTGTGAAGCCATATTTATTATTATAAAATATAAATTAAATATATATAAATATAGATAAATAATAAATGAATTATTTCCAATGATCGAAACTATAATCTTTATTTTTTAATTATGAATCATCAATAATTTAGTTGATATCACAAGTATTGAAAATAATAGAATTTATTTAAAGTAACTGTGTAAAATTTCTTACTTGAATTAATTAAATAAATAAGAGGATGTTAATACAAAAGCTAATTCTAAAGACAATCTATTTATTATTTAAAAATTGAAAGATTCATAATTGTTATTAAGCAATCTGATCAAATAAATTATGTTTTCAATTTATTTATACTAATTAATCTTATTGATAGAAAATGATTAATTCAATAATTAAAGCATACTGTATTCATAATAAATTTAAGTCATATATATAACATATTAATAACAATATGATAATTTATCTGAATCAAAATGTCTTAAAATCTAAGTAAAATTCAAGAGTTGATAATAAAATAACGATATAACGAATATTAGTAGATGGAAAAAGAAAGCATAAGTTATCTATTAATTAGTTTATTGATTTTGGCATATATGAAATTGATTGATTTATGATATTTGATAGAATTAGATAGGATCTTAATTAAAACAGAAAAATCTATATAAGAAGTAGATTACGGGAATAATTTTATTAATAATAAATTTAATGAAAAACAAGTAATTCAAAGAGATTTTGAGTTTATAAGTAGTTAAAGTAGAGTTAACGTAAAAAGTAACAAAAATTAACGCTTAAGAACCAATACATTATGGAGTTATTGTAACAACCCAAAATTAAGAAAAATATGTTCTTCATAATGGTCATAAATTTGGAAAAGATTAAGATTTTGTTTTAACAAGCTTTTGTAATACTAGTAATAGTTTGGAAATATTTGAAACTTATGAATTAGATAAACCTATTAAATTAGAAGTATTTTTTTTAGCTGGATGTTGTGGATAGAATATGAGATATCATCCTAAATACAACAATAGTAAACATGCTTAAGATAGAATTTTGCAGAAAGTTAAAGAGTTAACTAATCAAAGTTAATTAATAGTTGAATGAGTTATATTTTTCTTATTTGTTATGATTTTCTATTAATTAATATAGGTAGAATTACATTAATTATTTTTTATTTTCTCTAAAAAATTATTTTGTCTCATTAAATTCAATTAATTAAGTAGATTTTAAACTTTTTAATACTTCAAACAGATGTAAAAAATGTTTATATTAAAAAATTTTTTAATATTAGATAAAATTACTCTTAATACTATTCAATAATGATAATAGCATAAAATTAAAGTTTTATTATAATAAAATTAATATAAATATATTGAAATAGTAATTCATAATAATTCTCATGATTTTTAATTATTTATTTCAACTATTTTCTTAATTATTCTGTTTGAATGGTATTTTATTAAAAAGATATTTTTAAATGGACAAATAACACATCAAAATTAGAGAAAATATGAAATAATAATTCTCCATTATCATTGCTGGCATAATATTATCAAATGATTATCCTATGACCATAATTATTGAAATACAATGTACTATAATCAATAAAATATAATATCCTATTTTCATGTATTTCCTATATAAAAATTATACTTCTTACATAACTCTTTAAAAGACTTAACTTGAAATTTAAATCATACAACAAGATTGAATCAGTATTATTAAAAATAATAGGGATAGGATTAGACAATCAATTAAATTTAAGAGTTTCAGACTTTAATCGATTGTAAAAATCTTGATTCTATATTGACATTACACAAAATCAAAGATATAAAGTGGCATAGATAATATTGGAAATATGCAACTAAATATAACTTGATTTAATAATGGAACTTTAACTTTGATTGGTAAAGTATTAGTGAATTCTTAATAGATTATATTTAAGATTCCAATTTTGCATGCCATATATACTATTTAATTAATGTAAATGAGTGAGTGATCCAATCCTTTTAATCTACAAAAGCTTTATTGATATCTAATTAATTCAATCAAATTTAAAATGATATTAGCTCCAATAATTATTATATAATATGTAAATAATAGTTTCCATTAACAATCAATTGATTTATCAATATAATATTGAGAGATATTAATGCTAGAATAATACATAAGTTATTTGTCATATTTTGCTTAATCTTAAGTTTTCTATTTTATTTTTTTGGATGTTAGATTATCATTTTAAATTAAATAATTAGATTTTTCAATATCATCTTAAACATTATGCGTTATATATAATTATGTGTTTGAAATGTCAGCACTTTCTCTAATTGTAGGTAGACTATCCTAAAATTCTTTAGGTATTCTGAAATTATTATTTATAAATTATTAATCAAATACCTCTACAATTTCTCTATTCGTTTTTATTCACATTCTTTCAACTTATCATTAAACCTTTACTCTTCCAAAATTTGATCTAACTAAGTTTAGGATTGTGTTTATCGATATTCTATTTCAAAAACAACTTCATTTTCTGGACTTTCTTTGAATGCAACAATTTCTAGGCTAATTTATTCATTATTTTTCATATATAAAATTAGATATTTTAGTATTATTATAATATAAATGATAATATTATTTAATAAAAGCATTTTAATTTGTTAATTGAAATTGATAATAATAAGATAATTTAATAATATCTTGATTGATATTGATTACATTCATTAAATGTGTGAAATATAATTCATTATTAAATATTCACACATAATAACAATCAATGCAACCCTAATTATACCCTTAAATCTATTTTTATACATAAAAATAAAAATTAAAAATTAAAGATCATAACTATTTTATAGAAATCATATTATAATCAATAAAATACTACATTAAAATAATATACTTAAGTTAGCCTTCAATAATATGAAATAACAAAAATCTAGTTAATAAAAACTTATAAAGACAAAGATCAATTATATCCTAATTGAATAGTCACTATAATTTATTGAAAATTAATTCATAACAAAGTTGGAAGTTTCTCAAATTGAAATATTTTTTGTTTTAAATGAAATTGTAAAAATCTCAGAATGAAATTGCAAAAAAAATTAATTAATGAATTAAATTTCTAGACTTTATAAAACAAATAATGAGAGAAATTCAAAAAAAAAATTATTTTAGAGTATTTTTTTATATTTAATAGTTAAGCTATAATTTATGTTCAAGTAATTTAAGATATTATTAATAGAAATTTAGAAATAAGAAAGATTCCAACTATTCTAATATAAGAATATATTAGATGAATATAATAATTTTGATCTATTCAAGATATAAGAATTAATCATGTTATCATTAATCTAATGAACCCATAAATTAAAATTCTGAATTTTACTTCTAATTAACTCTTTTTCTTTTCCAATCATCTACAAGGCTATTCGAATTTAAGAATTCTAATTTATGATTCTAAAATAAATTATTATTAATACATATTGGATTTATCTAATTTGTTCATTCTAAAATTAATCATAATTTTGTTATTAATTTTACCAATAGAAATTTAAAAATTTAGGGGAATTGATATCTTAATTAGTACTACAATTCCATTATGGTGATGTAAATGTATTGTAATAAAATTGATATTATTGTGTAGGTGTATAAGTCATAGGAGTTTAATTTATCATAGAAATAGGTGATATAGCATTATAATTGGATTAAAATTATTTCATATATTATTCCATCATAAATTTGTATTACTATTGTTAAAATTCTTCCATTTAATTTCTATAACTTTAATAGATCAATTAATTCTAATTTTATTATTAAAATTCCTATTAATATGGTTATTGATTATAAGATAAGAAATAATTATTTAAAGTACTTGGTGTTTAAGTACTATTAATATCAGAAATCTAGGTTTGTTATTATACTTATTATTTTTAATCTAATTGTTGAAATTCATTTGGATGACTTGATACTTAAACATTAGATTTATATTCATTATTTTCTTTTTAATTTATTAAATTATTTTAAATAATGAATTCTTAATTAATTGATTCTGATTATTATATTAAGGTTTTGAGATGAGCTTTGATTAATTTCTTTTTCTTAGTTGTTTTTTTAGGATGTTTAATTTAAATATGAGGTTTTCTGGTTTTATACTTCTATATTTAGAAAGATTGTTTTTTTTAAATTATAGGATCTCCTGCCAATTCTTCAGAATATACTCCTAATTTCTTTAGATAATCTTATATAGCTTAAATTTCATCTAATTCTTCATCATCTTCATCTTTGTATATCTTCTACATTAAGCTTTTGAATCTTAATATATTTAAAATTTGGGATACCTATTCTTGACTTGATTTTCAGTTCTTCCTTATAAAAGAGTTGATAATTAAGACCATCTTTTACCATGATTTACTATATTAGTTAATAATTAAATATCTTCCTTCTATGTCCAATTTGCTCTAAGGTATAAATTTTGATATTTACTTATTCAATTTAGGGTTTAGATAATTCATCCATCTTTCTCTAACTTATTTAGGAGTTCTAATAAATTGACCACCATTTTTATTATACAATTCTAAAGCAATAAATGTCCATATATGTTTCTCATCTTATTCACTATATTGTTTTATTGATTTTTACTTCATTAATGAACGGATTATGTCATCCTCTTAAGAATCCCAATTTATACTCTTTTATACAGGATTTATTAGAGTAATCCATCTTTATTTGAGAATAGTTTCATCAGTTTTTAAGATACTAGATAATTCAAGCCATTCCTCCTTATTTGGATTGATAATTTTTTGATTTTTGTTTTGAAAATACTTGCTTAATACCCAAATGAACATCATTTTACATTACTTATCCCATTTTCTCTTTATACCTTACTTTTCCTCTTAAATCAATCTGTTGTTTTTATATATTGATTTCTTACTTTTATACAATACCATCGAAATACTTGCTGTTTGGATTAATGAAATTTTCTTTGATTTTAAATTGATTTCTAAAATAAAAAGGAATTTCAGCATTTTTGATTGTGCCAAGTTATGAAATGAATTCCTCAAACATATATTAATAATAATTTAATTTAGAAATACTGGCAAAATTCGTTAGAAAGTACAATTGTAGTTATAAATCTGAATACATCCCTATTACAAACATTGTTGATAGCTTTAAAATAATGAAATTTATGCATTAAATTAATGTTTAAAGTTATTTTAATTTTTTAATATAAATGTCATAATAAATATATATATAGCAAAATAATTAAAATAAGTCCAGTTTATAATTTACTGATATTATAGGTTTTAATAAATTATAGCTATAAAGTACTAAATCAAGTTAAATATGAAAATCCTGCAAGTGTAAGGGGACTATTTAAAATTTTGTTGAATTTTTAATTTGATTTATTATTATGCTTCATTGAACTTTATAATACTGTTTTTGCATCCATAGGTGAAGTACCTAATTTTCTTTGTTGCATTATAATAACCTACTCTCTACTTAGTTTTTTTGATATATTAATTTCTTCATTTAAAAAAGTATTTTTAGGAGGAGAATTCTAAGATCTAGAGTTGTTCAGTTAAGAAGTATTCATAGATCTAGAATTCCTGTTCTTCAATTCTCTAATCTTTTCTTAAATATCACTATCAATTATATTTAAAAATACCTTGTAATTGAACCTCCATATTCTACTTTTATTGGACTAGCATAATTTTATACTAAAGATACTTAAAGAGGTTATAAAATATTAAAAAACCTTCTAAAATCTTAATAAAATTAAGCTTATCTTTTTGAAAGTTATTATAATTCATCTTACATTTATTTGAATAAATTCTTAAATATTAATTTATTTTATTTACAAGTTGTTTTATTGATAACTATTTATCTTATACTATACCATCTACTGTAGCTACTAATTATTTGAATGTATATATATCTTAACTATCTTAACTTTTTAAAATTGCTTTTATTTCATTCTTAATTATACTCATTTCTTCAATATCTAATTACTTAAACTATTTAAAATGATTACCTAAACTTCTTCATCTTTTGTAAGTTCATTCAAATAAGTATTTTCAATATTAGATAATTGATTATGAAATTCCTCTTATTTTGAATCTAAATACATATGTAAAGCTTTAAATTCTGTGTCAATATCATTTTTTTATGTTTAACATTTATCTTTTACTTATTATTTATCAAATTAAATATTTCTAATCTTATCTAAACTTCTTTCAACTGCTAAATTTAATTTTTCTAAACAAGGATGACCTTTTATTGTAAGATCCTCTTAAATTGGTTATACATATTATCTTTTCTCTGTTGTAAAAGGTTTAACATTATAATTGGGTTATGTCTTTGAAGCTTATGATTATGATTCTTTTGTTAATTGAACCGCTTATAATGATTCATGATCTAGGACTGTTGGAGTATTGCATTTTAGACAAGGTACTCCACTATCATCTTTATGAATAGCTTGGGAAATGCAATATAAACAAAATTTATGTTCACAATCTAAGATAACAAATTATGTTGGAACAGTTTAACATTGTTCACATATGACTTCATCTTCTTCAGACATTTTGATATTATTTTATGATTAATTTTATTTATTAACAACTTTTAAATTAAATAATAATAAATATTATGCAAAATCAATAATTTATGAAAGGATAATAATTAAGTCAAAAATAACAATTTAAAAGAATATATCTTATTATTTCTGTATATAACATTTAAAGTTATGATTTATTAAAAAAAAATCAGTTGAAATTAATAATTATTTTGGTATTAGATTATGTTAATATTATTGTCACTATATTTTATATTCATCAATCCAATTAAGAATTAAAAATTGACCAGTGTTATAAACTACTTTATTTATTTACAAAGTGTTAAAATGAACCATTTAATAAAGAATTCAAAATTAGCATACTTTATAATAAAGTCAATTTAATCAGCAGTTAGTGATTTTTCAACCATATTTGACAAAACTATTTAACTATTATTTGCAATAAAATTTAAATATCCCTTTTTTACCATTTACTCATCAGATATTAGAAAATAATTAAAACTGTAAATACAAAATTATCATTTACATAATAATTGTATTAAATTAATCATTTATGAATTTGCTTTTTACAAAATAATCAGAAAATAAGGATTTTTAAATTAGTTAGTTGTAATAGCTTAAGTATTAATCTAAGATAATCAAAATTTAATAACATTAATATCATTAATTAAGTATTCAAGGCAAAGATTAAGATAGAATTATAAATAAAAAAATATTTTATATTTTTTAATAATCAAGTTTAAGAATAAGACCTTTAAGTTCTAAATTTATACAAAAAGAATTCAAATATTACATATATTGATTCTGTAAATATTCATTTGTTTATACATAATTTAAATGAAGTTATAATACCTTGCAATTTTTATTTTTTAATATTTAATGTTTACAATAATGAAATTATCTATATAGTTTAAATATTTTAAGAATATTGATGTTTAAAAATATGTAATCTAATGATGTTTAAATATTAATTAAATACAAGGATCTTCAAGAATCTATGTTAAATTATAAAGTAACTTATTAAATTATCAGAAGTTCTTGAAACTAAAATGGAAATTTTTAGAATTCAAAAAAATATAATTTCAAAAGTATATTAATTAATAAAATTATTTGGATAAAAAAAATAAATAGTTTATAAAAATTTATGATTCTAATGATATGTATAATTGAATGATAAACCATGTAAAATTTTTAGTTTAAAATCATCTTTTTCATCTAAACTTCATTTTTTTTTAGTAAGTAATTAACTAAAATTTATACTTAATTATGTTCTTTTTTAAAATGATTGATTCAAATGCTTAAATTTAGTTTATGTATTAGTTGTTATTGTTAATGATGAATTGATTTAGTTTTAATATTGAAGTTGATTGCATTTCATTAATTTTTATGTAATAAAACATTATATATTAAAAAGAGTAGAAGACAAATAGTTAGTCTTTTATGGCTAGGATTTGTTCTTGTTTAAGCTTCCTAAAATCAAAACAGCAATAAACAAATCAATAAAAATATCAACTTGGAATTGATAGTCCCAAAACATCATTTTTAGTACTATTCAAAATATATTTATTTAGGGACAACGCAAACTTATAGTTCTAGATTTGGATGAAACATTGGTACACAGTCAATTTTAAATTATAAATGGTTATGATTTTTCAATAGATGTAAAATACAATTATATCTTAGATTATTGTTTAAGGTTAATTATTCAAAGTCTATGTAACAATTAGACCAGGAGTTTATGAGTTCATAGAGCAACTTTATGAATTTTACGATATTGTTTTTTGGACTGCAAGTCTATAAGAATATGCTGATCCTGTTATGGATTTTATTGATCCCAATAATAGAGCTATTGGTAGAATGTATAGAGATAGTTGTACACCATTATAAATTGGATTAACTAAAAACCTAAATAAGTTGGGCAAAGATTTGAAAGACATTATAATAGTAGATGTAATAAATAAGATATATCAAAAGAATTCTGTTGTGTCTTTTCACTTAAACCCAGAAAATGGATTTTAAATAAAAGATTTCTTTTTTGATAAGTAAGACTAAGAACTTGAATTAAATCTACCCTTTTTAATTTGGTTATCATAAGTATAATAATTTACCTATAAAAGTTACCAGATGTGCGACCAGTTTCTAGTTTATTTAAATAATTTAATAGTACTTCATCCAATGTATTGAATATGAGAAATGCTATGACTCTTAATAGTTAATATTAATAAAATGAACAAAAGAAATTTTAAAGTCTATCAAGATCTTTATCATTTTAAAAAGCAAGAATGATGCTTTCAAATTAAGTGTTTCGAACATTAACTCTATCAAAAGATGATGATGAAATTTAATTAGACGAAAGCAAAATCAGAGATAGATTAGGATTAAATTAGCTTCCAATTGAAAAAGTAAATTAACAACAAAATTAAACTGATGAAGAAGATAAAGATACTTATATAATATCACAATGAAACACTAATTTGTATTTTTTATTGTTGATCTTTTTAATAAAATTTAATTATAATATATTGCAATTGATAAATACTAATTGTTGATTTTAAAGTGTTTGTATATAAGTATATATTTATCTATTTTCTTAATTAAAATTATATGTTAAAATATTTAATTCTGATCTTTTGTGTAGGCTTTGATAATTAAATATACTAAAATATCAATATACAAATATTGAATAATAGAAATCAATATGATAACATTTTTTAAATACAATAGCAAAAAATTAAACAGAATAATATCATTATCGTTTTAGATATGCTTCTAAAGAAAAATCATCATATTCTGTGTCAGTAGTTTTAAAACCAGCGTAACAAAAATCATTAGAATTTATGGGTAATTATTTGAGTTTTCTTTTTATTGTACTTTTAAATTGATTGCCTTCTAAAACAACAGATTATTTGGAGCATAAGGATAATTTCAAATGATTAAAGTCTGTTTGTACTGATTTAGCAATTATTTTAGGAGATTAAGTATGAGGTTTAGGTGAATTCGAAATAGGTTTCTTATTTTGGGTACATCTGTCAAATGATATTGCTCTTTACCTATCTACAGATAGTTTGGGTAATGTAAATTTATGTGGCAACTATCTAGTAGGATCTTATTAAATTGAAAAATACTCTATGATAAGGATCGTTTTGCTCTATAGGTTAATTATATAATACAAGACATTATAATTAAATATGTACGGATAAATAATATCAATAATACACCTTTTTGGTCATTACATTATAAAAATCTTCAAATGTCATTTTTCCATCTTGATTAGAGTCAGTCTTTCTAAAAATCTTAATTATAAGATTTATTCTATTACTTCTGCCAAAACTTCTTCATCAATATCCTCTTTTAAATCTTTATAAACAACTTATCTTAGATCTGATAAAGTTATGAATCCTTTATTGCTTTTATCATATTTTCTATAAACTCTTCTTATTGTATCCTTTTTCTCTGATTTAGATTTATCTTAATTAAGAATGGCCAAGAAATATTCAAATGTTATACCTCCTAATTCATCTTCATCCATTTCTGAAAATATCTCTATTTTATAATAAATTGATTTAATTACCATACAATGTTTCTTTAGTTGGATGATATCCAAAACTCAATAACAATTATTCTAAATCATTAGGAGATAAGATTCCTGCTTATTCTGAATCATAGTAATCAAAAACTTGCTTAATATCAATAATATCTGATTCCTATTAATTTAATTGATATAATATGCCTTGAGATCTTTGGTTATAAATTTCTTGGGATTAAATTCATTTGGATTGCCTCCTTTTGAAAATGTTTTTTCATTAGCAATTTATTTTCTGATTTATTATCCTTAATTTTGGATATTATTATGAGATTAGTTAATCATCATTCTTGCTCTCATTGACTCTCTATTTTGAGGAGCTCTATTGGTTGAAATACTAGATTCATCCAATTATGTATGGGGACTATCTCTCATAATGGATTATGTTGTTCTAAAAGGACTCTATTAATGTTAGATAAAGGTTGATTACATGAGATGTTCTTTGATTTCTCATTCGATTTATTAAAAATTAAAATAAAACTTAAGTGTTTATTAGGATATATTTTAATTATTTTTAATGAAATTAATTTTATTTTGTGCATTGTTATTCCTATTATGCAATTCTTAATAAACAGAGAATGAATCAAATTTATTTATTGTTACTGAATAAATTAAATATAAAAACATTGGAATAGGATTGATGAGAAATATTGAAGGTATATCTGATAATTTTGATGAAATTCTTTAAGGTGAAAATGATATATTGTTATAAAATGACATAAATGAGATATTATGAATAATAATATTTAAATATTAATAATACATAATCTAATATTTATATTAAATATTTAATTAATCTTGTAGGACAGTAAATATATGTTTAAAATCAAAAGAAAATAATATATTTCAAAGTTATTAGACTCTCTAATGTTATTTTCTTCTTAATTATTCATCAGATAATGGAATTTATGGCTTTGTTTCTAATGGTTATAAATTTATATCTAAAATAATTTTAGTTTTTAAATACTTTTTTTATTTATTGGTGGTGTTGCCTATGATAAATTACTACTATTTGTATTACTATTAAAACCATATTGACTAGGAAAATTTGGTACTGTATTCCCTCTATTATCAATAGGACTTAAGATTATTTTTTGATTAGGTTTCTTTTCATTAAATTATTGATTAGAGACTTCATTCGAATATCGATATTTTCCTTCTTTTTCTTCTAACATTTAATAATTCATTTTTATCTTTTCAGCCACTAATTATGCTCTATCTAATTGAGGCTAACTTATACCATTTTATTTTTGTTGAGATTCTATAACATTTATTATTAACCAATACCTTTTCTTTGTTGTTTAGGGGAAGTCATTCTTTAATTATATTCTGAATCATTGAAACTATTTATATCAGATTATCGAGAATTAATTTCAAGGATTCTTTCAGCCTTTTCTTGATCAATTAAATCGATAGCTAGTTTCAATTAATATGATTACCCTATTTATAAGGTAGATTAGGAAAATTAACTTTTTTTGCTTTAAAATTGAATGGAGGAATCTTATATTCTAAAGAATCATCATCCCATTCACATGCTGCTTAAAGAGATTCTAATTCAGTTTGATTAAACATCATTTTAACTATACCAGAATACAATTTAATTTCTTTTTCTTAACTTCTTATAGTTTCTAATAAATCTTCCTTTTCATATTCAACTTCTTATTTTAAATCTTTCTATTCATTTTAAGCCTCTTCTAATTTCTTTCTCAAATATTTAACAAGTTTCCTTAATTTTTCAACCTCTTCCTATACACTTTAATATTTAGTTTCAATTTATAATAATTCTTATTATTACTATTCCTATTAATTGATAAGTGCTTCATGTTCTTTTTTTTATAAATCAATAGCTTATCTCAATTTCTTATATTTCTTTTTCTCATCTTCAGTACCTCTACCACCTTAAACTATCATTTACTCCTTTTCTTTTAATAAATCTTCTAATCTTTTTCTTGCTTATCGTTCTTATTCTGCTTAAATTTCTTTCTCTCTTACTTCCATTTCAATTCTTTCCTTTTCTTATAATAATTAATTATTCTTCTCTTTAAATTCATGTAATTCTTTAAGTTTCTCTTCTGATGGTCCACCTACTACTTATATTTGATTTTTCTCTTTCAATTTATCATTTTCTGCTTTCAATCTTGCAAGTTCTGAATTGTTTTCTAATTTACCAATTGGTTAAAAGACATCAAAAGATATAGGTTAACCTGTTGCTTATTTTGATAACATATCTTTAAGTCTTTTAATTTCTTCAGCTTATTCTTTTAATAAAGCATCTTTTGGATCTTCATTTACTTTAGGTTAATTTTTAATCATTTTAGCTCTTGAAGCATATCTTAAACTAGATAAAGTTTCATCAAAATTAAAATCAGATGGACTGATAGCTGTAATCATAATTGTTTTAGTATTTCCTCCCAAAGAATCTTATAGTAATCTTGTTAATTTAGAATCTCTGTAAGGAATATGCTATGTTTTACCATCAACAAGAGCTGATATAACATTACCCAAAGCTGAAAGTGATAAATTAATTTTAGTTGCCTCTTTTAATCTATCTCCTGTTGCTTATGTTTTTGATTATCTTTCACTTCCTGCCAAATCTACCAAGTTTAATTTACCAGCAGTTATTCTTTCATTACCTTTTGCATCTGTAACAGAACATTCTATATATACAGTGAATATGCAATGACTACGACTAGATTCCTTATTCATTGCAGTTGCTCCAACTGATCTGTTTTATGTACCCAATTACATAAATTTATCCATTTCTTGAGTAGTTCTAACTACTGCTATATTTAAATCCTTAATAAAGACACCTTATTATCCTTCTTTTAAATCATATTTTTGTTTAACATCTTTACTTAATAAATCATGTATTTCTTCATTATAAATTTCTAAGTATGAACAACGAAGTAGAAATTTTTTGTTTGTGTCTGAATTATTATTAATAATGCTGATTATTTAATCAAAAGTTCTAGGTATGATTCCCTTCATTGTTTCCTAATAATGAATAATATTATTACACTAGATGGGTCTCCAATCATAGTGAATGTTTTACCACAACCTTTAATTAATAATTGAATATTAATACCTGTTTAACCATATGCAAATATTGTTCCATTATAACCATCTGCTACACTTTCTACTAAATTGAAAGCAGTTTTCTAATAAATTGATAATTGAGGTGTTTCTGCACCAAATACATAATCATATGTATAAGATTTCACATCATTATCCTAAGACTAATATAAAATTATTAATCAAAAAGTATACATTTTTTAATTCAACTGTGTTAGTGTCTTCATTAACTATAACACATGGTTTACTTCCATTTTCCTTTTCTCTTTGATTGAATGGACGCATTCTTACAATAACTTTAACACATTCTGCTGGCATTTATTTATATTTTATTAATCAATAATTTAGAAACAGTTGACAAATGAAATTTATAATTATCATTAATTATTTTCATTATAAAAATTTATATATATATATATATATATTTATGAAATCATAATCATATCAAATCAATTCTCTCCTGTCTTATCTTTCTACTCCTCATGAATCTATTTTGCTTTTTCTAAATAAGCAAGTAATTTACCATTTTATATTATTTCCATCACGAATTTCACTTCATTTGTAGTCACTTTTTCCTAAACATCCTATTAACCCATTTATCTTTCTTCCTCAGAATTCTATTGTTCTTCAATCTTCATTCTATTATTAACATCAATTTCTTCAATTTTTATTTCCTATTCTTGTACTTCTTATTTTTATTCATTATTTCCAATTTAATTTAATTACTTCTCATAATTAATGTCATTATCTTAATTGTTTTATTGCATTTATAATTGTTACAATAATTCATTTACTTTATTCTACTCTTAAATAAGTCTCTACTTATATTCATCAAGTTCTCTTTATATAATATAATCACATGCTATTAATGATAATTCCTTATTCTTTTATATTGATATTTATTCTTAAATCTCTTAATTCTATTTGATTCTGGTCTATTCAAATAGAATTTATTCTTCATTTATTTTTTATTCCCTTGCATTTAATATTTCTTCCTTTATTTTCAAATCTGAATCCTTTTTTTCAATCATTTATTTCCTCTTTAATAACTGATCTTTCTCTTTTATTGTTTGAGATAACTATTCTTTTAAATCTTATATTTCAGTTAAACTTAATTCAGATTTATTAACTTATTTTAATTTTTCCTCTTTATATTATTTTTTATATTCCTCTAAAGCCTATTTAAGTTCTATTATTTCTTATTCCAATTAAGATATCTCATTTTACTTTTATCCAATCTTAGTTTAAAATTCTACCTCTAATTCTTCAATCCTTTTATATGATTATTCTTAAAATTAAATTAATCTATTTTAAAAATTATCAACACTTTTCTTTAATTCTTATAAAGATTGATCACTATTTTGATTTATTTAAATTTATTCACATTTTAATTTTTCTTACAACAATTAATTATTTAATTGCACCTTCTCCTTTATTTATTAATTTAATTATTCATATAATTCTTCTATTTATATTTTATCTTTATCCATTTATATTTTTTTTTTCAATTATAATTTTTTTTAATCCTCATCTCCATTCTAATCTTTTCTTTCAATTGCAATCACTTCTTGTTCTTTATTAAGTAACTCCTCTTTCAATCTTTAAATCTATATAATATAATTTTTAATTTCTTCATTCTACTTAATTATTAATTGTTTATCCTTCTAGCTTTTCTAAAATAACATTCGATTTTATTAATAATAATTAATATGTTCCTAAGTTATAGAACTTAAATTTATTTCTTATTAATATTCCTAAATTTTTATTTCAAACTCTTCATATCTCTTTCTAAATTATTCTTTCTTTCTTCCAAAATCATCTTTTTATTAAATCAATTTCTTCTCTAAGAATTCCTTCTACTATCTTTCCAACTAATATTAACTTTTTAATTTAGATATTTAAAATTCAAGTTCCTCTAGTTTAAATTCTAACTTCCGTTTTTCCATCCTCTAATTTCTGAATTCTTTTAATAAATTCTACTATTTTTCTGTTTTAACTTTAATTTCTAATTTTAGTATAATAATAATAAATTACTTTCAATTTTATGAACAATTGGTTACACTTTATTATTATTAATAATCTATCCCAATGCTTTCTCTTAAGTCATTATATTAACTTTCTCTTTTAAATTCAAAATTTCATCCTCTTTAACACTTAAAATATATTTAAGATTCAAATTTTCTTCTTGAAATTTATCACTTTAATTAATTGGTCTATTTTATGATTAGTAATTTATTAAGATTTATTCTATTTAATTTTTTAATTATTCGTTCTCTTGACATAGTTATTTAATGAATACTTAAGCATCAGTATTTGAAACTTAAGATTGATTTTTAAAAAGATCAATTACTGATAACTCTTATATCTAAGTTCTACAAGTTAGATTTTCTGATCTTAATTTAAGAATTTCTATAGTTTGAATTTCCTCCTTTTATTTAACCTATTATAATTCTATTTCTAATTAATTTAAATTTTCTTTTAATTTTTTATTTAAATTAATCTCTAATTCTAGTTTTTTCTTTTATTACAAAGATATAGCCATCAACTATTCAAATTCTTGTTTCCTTTGTTTTACAAATGGTAATTCTTTTTCTACTAAATCTTAAAATTTCTTCTTCTCTTAACTTAAATTTTTATTCATTTCTTTCAAACTCTTTATTTCTTCCTCATTTTTTAATAATTCCTATTTAATTTATAATATTTCTTCCATATCTGATGGTAGTATAATATTCATCATATCATAAACAATAGAATGTGAAGAATTTATTTTTTTTTATAATTTTGCTATTTATTCTTATTAAGATATATTTTATTCTGATATTATTTATTATTCTTTTTATAATTCTAATCTTAATTTCTCTTATTCTTATAATTATATTTATTAATCTTCCAAAGTCTTCTTTTAATTCTCTATTACATTCTTCAAATTTACTATTTCCTCATCAAGAATCTTTTTTTTATCTTCTGCATTCTTTATTATCACCTAAAATCTATCAATTCTTTTTTAATTATCAATTTCTAATTAATAAAAATTTCATATTTACTTGTCTTTTCTTCTAAAACTTTATATTATTATATTTAATTTAATAATTATTTTTTTTCATTATTAAAATTCTCAATATATTGGTTGTAATTCTATAAAACATTAGTCAAAGCATCATTGTTAATATAAATTATTTAATTTAAACTTTTAGTTTTCAATTCTTCTTCCAATTTTTAGCGCTCTAATTCTAATTGATCTAATTAACTTTATAATATTTAAATCTCATTTTTTAATTATTAATTCAAACTCCTTTCTTATTGTAAATCATATTCTAATTTTGATTACTATTGGCCCTTTTAATGAAATAAATACATCAATATTTGAAAGTGTTTATAAAATCTACTCTTATAAATTTTTTAATTGTGCTTCTAAAATACAATTATTATTCTGAAGTTCCTTTTTCTCTTCTCTAATCAAAAACAAATTGTTATGCAAATCAAGATTACCTTCTTCCAACCATTAAATTCTTTACTTTTATTATTCTATTATCTCATTCTAATACTTAACTACCCTACAAATCTTAATATGAATACTTATCAATTTCTTTTAATTTACATTTATTAATGTATGCCTCCCTTTCAAGTCCATTTAAATGTTATTCCAAATATTATTTTTACATTAACTTAATATTATTTATTGTAATAATTAATCATAAAAATAAACAAAACCATCCAAATTATGTTTTATTGATATAACACTTTATTATTATGAATAAGAATATAAAGATATTAAATAATATATATGAGTATAATATATATTTAAGTAAATAATAGTTGTTATAATGTTCAAGATATTAAAATCAAATAATTTATTTGATAATCAAAATTACTATTGATTTTTAATTATCCCATAATATTAATTAGTTTTAATAAAAGCTTATTATTATATAAGAATTATTGTATAAATATATGAGGATAAACACGGTCTCGTTCGTCTGAGATTGATGAATCAAACGTCGCTATTCTGATTAAATTATTAATTTTTTATTATATAATCTATTTTATCAATTAGAGTATAACTGATCATACAATTTTAATATTAAGATATTAGAATATATATTATTGTCTTCCATATTCTTATAGATTATTAACACTTAAAATATGAATTTTTTAATTTTAAACAAATTTCAAAATATCCTTATTTCTTATCATGTCTAAATTAGTAGAATTTTATTAGTGATCACTATATAAAGATTTAATGAATATCATAATATGAGTTGAATTTGGAAAATGAATAAATATTATTAAATATTATTATAATCATCATTTTGATGAAGTAATGATTCATTTTATCAAATAATAGAAAAAGAGCATAGTAAAGAGTATTAAGCAAATTTGGATAATTCATTAATGATAACCCTGATGTTGAATTAAGAATTCTATTAGATCAAGAAGAGTTGTTAGATTCTAAACAGAACATTAAATTGTTTGGCGAATTGTAAAATATATTTAATAGTAATAGTGTTACAAAAAGTCCAGAACGCTTTTGGGAAATGTTGCAAATAATTAATCTTAAATAAAAAGATAATGAAGAAGTCATCCCTAATAAGTATTATATAACTTTTTAAAGTAGATATCCATTTATAGTGAGTGAAATTATTGGTAGTAAAGAAGATTAAATTATCAATTATTTTTTTGATTAATAGGGTCCTGAAGAATTTGAATTTCTCAATTTACTATTCAAAACAATAGATAGGGATTATATAGATAACACACTTGCTGGATATATGGCAAAAATATTAAAAGCAATTATTGAAAAAAAAGGATTAAGCGTAATTCTATAAAAAATTAATTGTAGCTTTGGAAATATTTAATAAATCCATAAAAAGAAAGTTAATATATATTAAAAGATCTAATTAAACATTTAGATGTACTACATATTGCAGACATAATATTCAACCTTATTCGAATGGATACAATTAGAGAAGAAGGTGCAGAGGCTTATTTAAATCAAAGATTATAATTATTATTACGAATTATTGATTATATGTAATAAAAACATGATAATGTTATGATTGTGGAAAATGTTTCCTATATTTTATAGAATATTTTAACAGAAACAATTGAGAATGAAGAAAGAATATAATTTATATATTATATTCTAAATTCAACTTTAAACTTTGATTCAATTGTATATATATATATAATTTTAATATATAGGTAGTTAGTAAATCAAGTAAATTAATAAAGATAATGATAATCATACTTGAAACTATTGAGAGAGATAATTAAAATGGACGGAATAATATAGCATATAATTATTCATTATTATAAAATATTGCCTATAATTTAGTTAATTTACTTAATTTAGAAATATATTTAAGTAATTATTTCTTAAAATTATAGCTCCATTTCAAACATCTTATGGTATATATTAAGAACCTTTAGGTTAATTTAAATTACAATTAATTGAATTCTATTTGATAGTATTGAAACAAAATGAACAAAATATTATGCCTTAATTTTCTCATTCGAATATATGTTATTAAATTATGTAATTGATTCTTAAACATGAATTTAATAATGCTATTTAGAATCTCTTTGTTGAAATAATATCATTAGTTATGAAAAATAATGAATATAATTAAATTAAAGAAGATTACATAAAGGCAAATATTTATGGATTTTTGATATATCTTAATTAATAATAAAAATATCAAGTAGGTTCAATTAAAAAATTTATTACTAAAGGATTTTAAGGAATGGCAAATAAGTTATCATTTCTTTTAAAAGATGACTTCTAAGAGGAAAATTGGAATTTTTATATTTAAAATCAAAAAGATATTTTTAATATTGAAAATACATATCTATTTGGATTTAATCCAAATTATGTTGAGGATGCATATAAAGAGGAAGAATTGATTTAATCTATAAAATTTACTAATGACCAAATTAATGATACAAAGATATTATAATTTGGAAAAATAGAATAATAAAATACTGAAGTAATATAGAGAGATGTATAATAACCAATCGAATAATAAAATACTGAAGTAATATAGAGAGATGTATAATAAACAATCGAATAATAATTACCATAAAAAGAAACTTAACAAAGTATCATAATTATGGAATAGAAATCAGAAGTGTAAATAACTCAAACAAATAATAGTGAATAATTATCCAATTTAGTATTTGGTTAGATTGATATTAATAATAATGTAGCATAGGTAGAAAGTGTAAATCCAAATGATGAAATAAATCAATCAATTTAAATTGATGAAGAACCAAATAATATTACTGCAGGTAATTAATAATATTTAATATTAGAAATTTAAAAAGTGCTTAAAAATAATAAATATTAAGATCCAGATTATCCAGATAGAGTAGTTAATGATTTTTATAAAGCAAAAGCTATGAATGAAAAAAATATCAATAGTGGAAATCTTGATTAAGAATTAATATAAAATAGACCAAGAAGAGGTACAGTCTCTTCTATTTTCGATACAAAGAGACCAATTTTAAAAAGAAAATCATCACATTAAACTTTTGAGACTGATAAATAAATACCTAATAGATTATCAGTTTCAGGTATAGATTATAAAACTCAGACTTTTAGTCCTCTATTATAAAATTAATAAGAGAAGAATAATAATAAGTTAAAATGATCATTTAATACATATATTATCATACATTCATATAGATGACAATTTTTTTAAATAATTATTCAATCTAATTTAAAAAGACATTTATACCTTATTTGCATTGGGTTAAAGATTTCAGTTTCAATAGTCTCATAATGAATAAGGAATTTCAATATACACACAAAAAGTAAGAAATTAAGGAAAATAGTAATAATTAATAAAAACTTATAAAGGACAGTCATTTGATTTGGAGGTAGTGTAAAGTATTAACATTCAAAACTCAATAATCTAATTATGATCTCTAAAAATATTGAAATAAATTATGCTTTAGACATTATACGAATGATAGATTTTTTTTATTTTTGACCACTCAATATTTAACTTATGAAAAGTAATAAATTACTAATCTAAAATATTAAAAAATATATACTTAAGCTAAATGTGTTCTATGATTATTCAATATCATAATTAATAATAAATTTAACATTATTATATAAAATATAAATGGTTCCCAAATTTCTATAATTAATTAATTATATTACCTGATAAGAAATCATGGAAATAATAAAATATTGATGTTTCTAAACTTGTTAACTCTATATTTTCTGGTTAAGGTTCAAATATTTTAATTATGTTTTAATTCTTAAATCTAGTTTATAAATGTGCTTAATAATAATATTTCACATTTAATTTATGTCTTCCTACTAATTACATCTAAGAGAGATTCAACTATTTTAAAATGAATTGATTATTATCATATTAATCATGTTTTTGTGGAATACATATTATTTAACTTTAAGATTATTGAGTATACTAACATTTTCCTATTGAACTTCTAACCTATTTTCACTAAAGTATTTTACTTAAGATAACAAAATAATAACTATAGATTAAGGTGGTGATGTAAATTGAATCTTTAATGATCCATCCTTTTAAAAACTATTAGATTACAAAGGAGATATTGGTACATATCCTATAGTATCACTGAAATGAATGACTTCTTATAAAATACTATCAAATGTTTGATTTTAATAATGAAGAAATAAATATCCATCAACAATACCAATTCTTTTAAATATATTCTTATTATATTAATCTAAATAGTTTATCTCTTTTAATTTATTAACATTATTATCAGAATAATCTTTTATTATATTTCTAATAGAATTTAAATAATCCAAACCATTTATACGTTTAAGTTTAGCTTTTTTACTTGCATATGTACTTAATGTACTAATAATTTATATTTATGGATATTGCCATTATAATTCAATAAATACTAAATATTAACCCTTCTTTAAATTCTGTTCAACTACAACATTTCTATCAGCCCTATAAATACCTGAAATATATTTAAGTGTATCATTCACCAATTCAGATACAATTATTCTAACAAATGAATACCTATAATCACCAATCTAATTCAAATGAAATCTATTATCATTCTAATTAAATGAAATATAAATATGAGAGTCTTCAACCATATCTAAATGTATTATACAATTATTCTATTCATTTAATTAACATTGAATGCTATTATATATGTAATCATTCTTAATCTTGCAAACTCCTATTCCTGCAAAAAATGTTCGGAAATCCTCTATTGACATCCAAAAAATTCCATCATCATTATCTTCTACACTATATTATTATTTTGTCTATTCAGTCCATTTATTACTACTATCACACCAATCTCCTTTCCATTCTACTCTTCCCCAAGGCTATTAAATAAATTTAATTCATTACATTTCTCATCTGCATTATTCGACATAATTTATTATTCTAATCTAATACATTTGCCAACTTCAATATAGCATAAGCATGTCCAGCCAATAATCCCAATTCGTTCTCATGATTAATCAATTCAGCTTCTTTTGTATAAGCTGTTAATAAAAATCCTTGAGCATGATTTTATTCACAATACTCCCAAAATTCTTAAGCTGAACCACTCTCTTTATTCTCATATGGGGCTCCTGTAAGATCTCTCATTGCTATTGCAGGATTCCCTCCTTCTATATTCAAATATGATCCATAAACTTTTGCATAAGCTTTCTCTAAAAGCATAACCCATAATCCATTCGCCCTACTAAAGGCAGGTAAATTATCTGTACATGGAAAATAATCATCAATTACTACTGATGTCCATTCTCCATTTATATTTAACCATACTGCATATAACCCATATTAACTCACTTCGCTGTTATGGAACAGTCTCTTTACTAATTCACATTTCTCTGCAATTACACTAAGTGCACATAGAAAATAACAATCTCCTAAGATTCCTTATTTTATGTCTGATGGCTCTATACATCCACTAAATATATCAAAATCTTCAAAGATTTCATTCGCTCTTTTCCATGTTAATTTTTTCCAACCTACTTTCATTTATTACTATACTCTTTGGTAATTCTGATAAACTTAAGGAACTACTTTAAGGAGGAAAATTAGTATCTGTAAATTACTATTAACTGTTTTTTATTGTCTATAATATTTCATCATATTCTTAAGCATGTTCATTGTACTCTTCATCAAAGATTTCTCTAATTGACCGAACAAATCCAATAGATTTTTATGCTACCAGAAATTTTTTCATATATCAATTATTATTATAAAATTAATCAAATAAACTCTATTCTTTTAATCCTCACACTTTTCTAATCAAGATCAAGTTAGTATTTAATTTTAATAATATCAATTTTTTAATTAAATGGATCAGTGACTTTAGAATTAAATTTTATGAACAAATATTTTTATTTATAAATGATGAATCAGAAACCTAAGAAATACTAGAGTACAGGTTTTCTTATAGTTATTCCAAGATGCTTACTAATTGATCCAACTTTATAACTTTCGGTAGGTATTTCAGGTGGAATTTATATAGTTTTTATTTTATTCTTTTATTTTTTTAATCTATCTTTAATCTATTTAATGGTTTCTCTTTTCTTTTTATTATTAAACTTTGATTTTTATTTTTTTATTTTTTTCTATTATTTTTCTTTGGATTTCTTCTATTATTATTTAGATTCAATTTTTTCTTTATTTTCTAACTTTCCATTATTGACTTATTATTCAAATTATTATTATTATTAGGGCTATTATTATGTTTATTATGGTTATTATGTTTATTATTATTATTATTATTATTATTATTATTATGTTTATTATGGCTATTATGGCTATTATGGTTATTATAAAAATTATTACTACTAATGTTATTATTAAGTTTGTTATTATTATTATAATTATTATAATTACTATTATTTTTATTATTAGATTATTTATTATTTTTATAATATTTATTCTTTTTAATCTTCAATTAGAGGTTATTATTACTATAATTAATATGTTTATTGTGGATGATATTAATTCATATACATATTATTTTAAGTCTATTAATGATAATATTTCATTTATTAATATGCTTATTATTAAAACATTTATTATTATTATTATTAGTTAGGAAGGACAGTAGGAGGATATATAAATTAACTTTATTAATTGATAGGTATTCTTTATTGTATGTATTAGTTATTAATTGAAAAGGGTTGATGTTGAGGGATAGGTGTAATATTATTTTAGAGTATTTAGTATGGGTTTTATTATTCATAGATGTTTAACTTAGGTTATTTATTAATTTCTTCTTATTATTCTTCATCACTTATTGGATCCAGGTCATTATTAATAGGTAATTTAGTTGTTCCTTAAGGTATTTGTGGAGATATTTGTTTTAAAATATTGTTTGGCATTTATGATTATGGTTATGTAGCCATATAATTATTGGGATAAAAGGGATAGTTTCTCTAATCTTTAAAAAATATTAAAATAATGAAATACTTGGGTTAACTTTCTATTATTCAAAAACTTTCATTTTGTATTATTCATCATAAGCTGCTCCCAAACCAGTAGTACCCTAAAATAAAATATGATTAAAATTTACTCTTCTTTGATAACAATCTTTTAAAAATTAATCATTGTCAGCAGCCCATTGTTACTTAGCAATTTCATTCTCCCAAAGATCATGAGAAAAACGACAATTCTATCCTTTGCAATTACTCATTGCAAAAAAGAATTTGCATTGGTATTTAGACAAATCGTGAGAATATTAGCATTATTATTAATTCTGACATCCTTACCCTAAGTAATACTTGCAGATGCGAGTAACATTCTATAGCTCTTTTGGATGCATATATGAACATTTATTGCCCTTAATACAAGAGCCTTTTTTGAAATGCTCACAAACTTTTGTCCTGTAAGTAGACGAGTAAATTGATGCTCCATTTTTTTTGGGTTCATTATTAGTCGGAACTTCTCCATCCTCAAGTTAATTCATTAAATTATCTATTTAAAAATATATTAATAAAATTTCAATGTTTAATAGGAGATATGAAATATAAAAAATAAGGAATATTTGTCATAAGAAATTTAATCAAATATCTTGTTAAAAGTAGATGAAGTATAAAATAAATTAGATTATAATTTTTTGAAATAATGAATATGTTACAGTATAATAATATATTTATAATAATAATTATTATTACTACATTGTCATTCATTCTTGATTTCATCCACAGGTTTTGTAGCTCCACAACTTAAGGATCTTTTAGTTTATATCATTTGTTTGGTAGTCAGAAATACAGATCTTCTTCTCTGAATCAAACTATTAGTTCGTTTTCTATCATTTTAATAAATTACAATATACTTATTCTCTTAAATAAGAGATGAATTATGAATTATTTCCCATTTCTTTTCTTGAGTCTATTTTAATGTGGAATCTTTTCTATTAGCTGCTGTTTCATCTTCTTCATGAATTATTTATTTGATTTACACTAAAAATAGATATTTATATAATTAATACCTATTTATTCATGTATTTCAATTTATTTTTTCTTATTGCTATTACCAGATTTCTAAGATTATAGATCAATTTCTGGTTGACTTAGAGAATGAGTCAATTTTGAACGACGACGTCTTTCAAGACGCATTTAAAAAGCATCAGATTGATTAGCAATTTCATTTTTGATAAGACTTTCAATTTTCATGACTTAATTTGTGTGATTATCAACAATTCCTTTAACTTGAGCCTCAATCACAAAATGAAATAAATACCTCTTTTGATTCAGTTTGACTATAAATGAGATCAAGCTCAATTCTACGAGTTTATTCTTGAAATTTTGCTCTTTTAATTTAATTGTCATCTTTTGGTTTATGTGATTCTTCATATTTTTAAGTTGCATTAATAAATGTAGGTTTTAACATTAATGCATTCAATTTTCTCTAAAAATAAAGATGTCTTCTATCCTTAATGGATTCATAATATTCTACACCTTCCTAAATGAGATGACGATAAATGAATACCATATATAGTGAAATCAAATCTTGTATAAGTTCTATTTAAACTTAATCATTCAATTCTATTTCCATTTCAAGATTGAGAATTTAATCTGCAAAATTCTTAGGCAAAGTCTTTTTTGTGAATTTCTCTTATCCAAATTTAAACATTTTATTAATAAATAAAAGTTGATTATACTTATTAACTTTGATTTAATTTATCAAAAGCTTTTACAACATCTTTCTTAATATTTAATTTTATATAACTTAATCTGTATTATTTGATAGTTTCTTTACAAATCTATCATCCACCTTTAATTATCTTAAACATTTATCAAATTTTATTACTATAATATATAAAACTTTTAAAACAATTTCAATAGTAAAAATAAATTTGATTTCATATCAATCAATTAATATATTTATGAATGTAGAATTAATCATTTATGTTATTCATCCCTAATTTATTCATTACCAAAATCAATTATATTAATATTCTATGTTTTTTATTATAATATACTATTGTTTAAGTTAATATTTAATAATGAAAAATATATCTTTAATTTAATTATTAATAAATGAATAAATTTATTATAAAATAGAAAATTATCTACTTTTAAATCATTTTTATAAAATAAGAACAAAATAGTTTTTATTCATTATATATCCTTACTTACTCTAGTCATAGAAAGATAACAATACAAGTAATATCATCTCTTACTAAACTATTCTAAAAGTAAATATAAATTTTTACTCTTCTCCATGCTTAGATTGCTTCTTTCACTACTTTTTCTGCAGCATGTTCTGGATTATCCTTTTCAAAGTATGGAATCACTAAACTCATCACCTAATTATTAACAGAAATACCTCTTCATTAGTCAAATAGTCCCAAACTCCATCTGAAGCAACAATTAAAAATTGATTATGGTTGGTCAAAGCAAATTATTTTATTTCTGGAATTGCTGTTACTCCTGCTTAAGCACCAACTTTATCACCAAATGATCTAGACATTGCTAAACCTGGTGCTTAAATATACTATAACCAAACTCTAAAAGGTCCTATAGGATTCCAATTAAAATCTAAATTAAGAAATTGATTAACCTTTTTATTATTCAACTCTACCTCCTGCATCAACAATAGTTTTCATTTCTTCAGGATCATCTGGTTTATGATCTCTTGTTAAAGGTACAATTTACCAAACTTAATCAAACTTACATAAAATTGCTCTTGAATCACCAACATTTGCTGTATATATCTAAAACAAATTTATAATAATATTTAATTACAATATCTTTTTTTATGAGCACTAACGCAGTAGTAGAACCAGAAAGATTTGTATCTGTATTAGAATTCCAAATTTCTCTATTTGTATTTGTAAATGCTCTTGAAATTTATATTTTAATATCTTCATGATTATCTTCCAATTAATTATGCAAATGTTTAGGAAGAGTTTATTTTATAAAATTTGAAACATGATGACCATTTAGACCATGTCCATCTGAAACTGCAAATAATTTATAACCAATACTATATTATTATGATATATTAATACTTTTCGAGAAGTTTGGGACAAACTATAGCAGAATCTTAATTGATTTTTATAGCCTTATTAATTTAACATCCTGCTTTAGTTCTCATTGCATAAATTGTTGTTTATCTCTTCTAATATTTAGGTGTAATAGACTTTCTTATCTCAATCTTCTTACTTTAGTGTTAATCACTTGTTGCCAAATGATTTTATAACTATGGTAATCGAAGCTACTTTGATTTATCTGTAATCACATTGCTCTATTCTGTCATTTTTATTTATGGCAAAAAGAACTTTGACTTAATGTTGAAATCAGCACTCTCTGGATATCTTCCTGCTATTTGTAATGGTTTTGAACCATGATCTCTTATTAGATTATTTAGAGATTATGATTAATGGAACATATAATTTTATATTTTTAATCATGCATCATTGTTACTGAGTTTCTCTATTAATATTCTTTAGTCCTATTCAACTTTCTATAAACTATCAAGTTCAATTTGATATCTATCTAATTCAGCCTTTCTTTCATTCAAAATATTTGATAACTCCATTAATTTTTTCTTTCTATTTTCTTATTCTGTTTCTACTTTATTTCTCTATTTAATCTTAATATTCATACCTCTCCTATTGCTCTCAACTTCTCAATCTCTATTTTTTTTGAATATTCTTCTAATGTCTCATTCAAATTTTGAACCACCTCATCTAAAGCAAGTACTTTCTTAATAAAATCCATGCTCTCTATCTTCAACTATTCTGTCTCTCTATATTTCTCAGCATCCAACACTCTAATTTTGTTTTATTCATCAAATGTTATTGAAATCTCTTCTGCCATTTTAATTTCCAAATTAAACTTTAATTATAATGAATTCATAATGTGAATAGCCTTTTTAATATAGACAACTTCGATCCCAATCTCTAAGTCCTTATAATGATTTCAATCCTATAAAGTAACTTAAAAGATAATTGCATTACCCTGTTCAAAAAACAATGTAATTGTTATCTTTTGAAAATAAACAAAATCATGAATAAATTGAAACAAATATTATTAGCTCAGGTAAATTAAACTTTGTAACTTACATAAGATAACATTAAACACTAAAAAAATAACTTTAAGAGTAGAAGGAACTCATTAATATTTGAAGGACACTCTATTCCAATTAATCCAATTATCAGATATAGTATGGAAGGTTATCAAATAAAAAACATAGCTCCAAAGATTCTACCAGCCAAAAATCTATAATAAGAATTAACCAATAGAAAATAAAGACCACTTAATCCAATCAATTCATCAGATTGTAACAATGATGATGATGCTAACAATCAGTAAACTTTTATTGGATAAAATCAAAATTTATCACCATAAAATGAAACCAAAAGACAAAATATTTCTATTTTACCTTCTATAAGAAAATAAAAAATTGTGATTGATGAGGAATAATTGATTAAGAGATCAGAAAGATACGAATAATTAATGGTATTAAAATATTAATTTAGAAAAAATCCTGTGATTAGTAGCTTAATGAATTGTAATCCTTAATTAAGAAGATATAAAAGTTCCCATCTGGAAAAAAAGAGAAAAAGGTAACTTTTCTTATTTGAAATAATACATTTATTTATTATCTTTACTAATATACTCATTTTTAGTTGCCATTTGTTTCATATTTAACAAATTTAAAGATTACTCTCATTGATGGTAGGTATTATATTTAATTTAAATTATTTAATCTACTAAAATTTATTTAATAATTAGAAAATTTATTTGATAAAATAAATTAAAAAATAAATATAAAATTAATTTAATTAAAATTATAAGAGAATACTCTGAATTTATTAAAATGAACATTATAGGTGACAAATACTATCTCTTAATGAATCCCATTCAAAATCAGTATGATAAAATATCATAACAAAATACTGTATTATTTAAAATATAGAGAGTATTTAAATTCATTAATTAATCATATTTACTTATTAAAAAATAAAAATCGGTAAGTATCAAAATTTTAATCAATTTCAAAAATACATATATTCTTAAAGAAATATATATTCTTATTTAAAAGGATTTTCAAAATGCCTATATATATTAATTATTGACATTATTAATCAATATGATTTAGAATACTAATCCAGAATCAAATATATAAGATAGAATATATATACATAAATTTAAATATTTTTATTAAAGAAAATGAACTCTAAAATGGATTTATTTTAATATAAAGATTAAAAAAAATCCTATTTAATACAAAATCAAATATTCATTATAAAGTTGGCAATTTCATAGATAAAATACTATTAGACCAGCCTCCTTAATTTTCTGATGAAGTTTGTTCTTATGTTGAACTGTAATTTTTATTTGATCTCGATGAAGAAAGAAAGTTAAATTGAGACAATTCTTCAGCAGGAATAATTTTTTATAGTTTCAATTATCGTTCTAAAAGACTTTTATTATTTGTAGAATGACATTTTTTAAAATTAAATTAAATAGGAGGTAAATCTTCTGTCACCACACTCAATTATTTTCTATGTTATGATGCTATTTTAGGAAGTTCTCTTTGAGTTAATAATTATCTAATTTCTTGATTTGCTTAGAGCTTCCCTTTTTATTAAGCTTTTTTTACTACTTATTCAATTTCAGTTGATTCTATATTTGATAAAGAACTTTCATCCAGTGATTCAGTCACAGTTTGAAATGTATCTTAATTTACTTTACTTTAAATTTTAACCATTTTAGCTAGATCTTGTAGTTCACTAGCATCTTTCATGAGCATATTTCTGAACAAGAGTGGTTATAATCCATTGATAGTTGAGAATGATTTTCTGACTTTGATTGTTAAATCTACTGAATTTTATCTTCTAAGTTTTCTTTAGAATTCTGCTTAAGCTTTAAGAAACAATGTATAAGCTTCATCTGCAATGGTTTTCTTTTCTGTTTCTTATATTAATTAACGAAAAGCTTAGAATTTAATTGAAATGCTTTATTCACTGAGAATCATTTTGAGTTATTTTTCTCTCTGAACTAAATAACTAATATGGCTAAGCATTGCACCAACAGATAATGGAACATACTTTTCAGTATATTCTAAGGTTTTTTGAATCTTAAGCATCATATTTCTGAATGCTTATAAGGCTTCTTGATTTTCTGTAAGACCTTTAAATTCATCTAATGATAAGGCTTTATCCTTGTTATAATCTATAAATTAATAAATGGTTTATAAATCGTTAACACTCACTCCATATCCATAGTGTTTGAATAGCATAAACAGATGAGCCAAAGTAAGAACACCTTCATTGTTACAATCTAAAGTCTATGGAAGTTAATGAGTTAATATACCATGAAAATTTATTTTAGTTCCATCTGTAATTTTCTTTCTTCAGGATAATAGAGATACTGAGGCTTTACTTAATCAGATCTCCTCTTAAACCATTAGTTAGTAGGAAAGTTATGGAAGCGATTTCGTTAATTCAATTAATCAAGATAATGTTGGCTAGCTTCATCAACCATAGGTACTTAGTCCCATTTAACTTTGTGATATTTCATTATTAATTATGATGAATATTTTTATAGTATCAATTCTATTCACAACATTACTTTCATGCTAAGTTTAATATAACAATGATTTTAAATTTGATCTTAGCAATCTATAAGAAAATATTTTGGTTTATTGAAATAATGAGAAATCTTTCTATATCACTTTATGTGGACTTTTAAATTATAAATATGAGAAATAATAATCCATTAGAATTTCGGAAGAAACTAAAATTGAAACAAGTAATACATCCAATAGAAACACTGTAGCTAATAATAATACTGAAAATACAAATGAAAATAAAATAACTACTTAAATTAATACAAATACAAAAGATACCAATAGTAACAATAATAGTAATACTTTGACATCAACAGATAAAAATACTCCAAAATTAGATGATAAAACAAGTGAATCTTAAGTTATAGTACTAATTCTTTATTGAATTTAAATGGATGTTTTCTATAAATCTATGAGTGATTGGAATATACTTATTACTATTTGGATACTAATTAACATAACTATCATCTATGATTCTTGTTTTTATAATGGGTTTTGGATTTACTTCTATTGCTATTGGAGAGATCACATTAAATATAGTAATATCAAATGTAAATTTATTAATAAAATATCTACTATGGTGAATCTAGTAATACAGCTTTAAATGTTGTCGTAGGATCAGGAATATTGATAGCTCTAATATATTTCAATGCTTCAATGCTAAGGTTCTTTTTCCTTCTATTAAATTTTGGATTTATAGTTGGCCTCATTATATCTTCGATGATTTAATCTTCATTTTACTATTAAATCGAAACAGACTTTATGTTCTTTCCTTTAACAACTTCTATTTTTGTTTCTGGAGCGATTTTAGGTTTGAATTGATTTCAAATATAATCTATTTTATAGATAAGATAAAGTAATAATATCATGATTATATAAATAAACTTATTATGTAAATATTTATTTTTATTTAAATTTATCATTCATCATATTATTTTCTAATCTAAAATTACTTAGATTTATCATCCCATAATATTAAATATAGGGAATCACTAGTAATTGCTCCAAATATACCTTAAGTTTCAAATGTAATGGTTTATTCAGCTTTTAATGAATAATCATCCAAAACTTTAAATAAATTAACACAATTTCCATTCTTACATAATAATAATTAATTCTATTCTTTATATTCCATTTAAAACCATCTACTACAACTGCTATATATTTTATTCACATCAAATTCTTTAATCTTCTCAAATTCACCATTTTGACTAGATTTTTTATATAACCACATTTTCTATTGTCCTTAAGGTTGAAAAAAGAAATGATTATTTTTAATGAAACAAATCCTATAGCCATAAATTTCATTCTTAATTGTTTATTTTACTTACCATTCTCTTGAAAGAAAATCTTTTACAATTACTAAAATCTAATTATCAAATCCACATGAAATCAAAGTATTTTCTGATGTATTTAATGATATTGCATGAACATTACTTTGATGATTCTTTATAGTCTAAATACATTTCCATTATTATTCTTTTGAATAAAATTTTATACTCTTATCATCACTACATGTTATCATTTCATTTTCATCTTTATTCAACAATATCTAATTAACATAATCTGTATGTTCCTTAATTTCTGTTGTAAATTTCCATTTATTATCTTCATATATCCAAAATATAATCTTTCCATTAAAATCTCCAGAAATAAAGGATTTACTTTTCTTCATAACATAAATTGAACAAATATTTTAATCATGTTTATCTATCTATTAAATAAGTTCCAATTAACCCCAACAAAATTTATATATTTATATTTATTTATTACATCCTGCTATAAGTATATCATTCTCTTTTGTAAAGTTTAATGTTCTAAAATTATCAACTTATCTTATTGCATGATTTTATAACATTAAATAATTAATTTTCCCTTAAGATTACTATCCAATATCTGTTTAGGTTTATTTTATATTTTATTATTTCTTATCTTATTGAATCTATAAATTTAATTCAATCTCTTTTGATTTCAATTTAAGTTCTTTATTTTATTATTTCACAGGAATAAAACAGAATTATTCATAATCATAACAAATCTTATCTAATATCTTTTATAATGATGTTTAACAAGTTTCTTTTATTTTTTATAGAGAATTATATATATTTTTATTTAATTGTGTCTCTTATTCTAATATTTAATTTTCTTATTTAAAGCAAATCTAATCATTTTATTAAATTTTAGATAATGTTTCAACTATATCAAGTAGAGTTTTCTTTGAATAATTTTGCCAATTTTAATTCATTCCTTAAAATGTTGTATTAATTGTATGATTTAAAATTTCATTATGGTCTTTGAGATATTACATAATTTCATTTTTTTTCTCTTAAAATACTTCTGTTAATGAATTTAATTATTACAATATAACCTACTCATTATCATAATTCTTTTGATGCAATTTCTCTAATTTCTTTTTCTTTGTTTCTTCCAATTAATTCCATTGTTTCTAAACTTTTGTCAATGAACAATATTTTATTGAATTTTCTTCAATACAATAAATACAAGCTAATCTATTTTCCTTAGCTCTCTCAGGATCTAAATCAAAGGCTATTATTTCTTTATTGTGACTTTAACAATTTAATTTTAATCCTGGAGTGTCCTATAAATTAATACTATTAATATTTACAATTTATTTTTCTTCTGAATATTATTATAATTATTCAGTTTAATATATTTCCAACTGACTTGTTTAAAATTCAATAGAATTAAGTTATTGAAGGAATTCTTCAATTTTTTGGTTATGTTATATTTGTGATATCTAAGATTATAAAATATTTCTAAATGAAAATTGTGAATTTTCTATATCTTCATTTTATAGTTTTTTAAATAATTCATTAAAATTATAAACATCTATTGATTAGATAGTCTAATCCAAATTTTCTAAAAGATTAGATAATCTCTCAATCTCTTGAGTAATTTATTAAGAGACTTTTTCACAAATTTACACCAAATTTCTTTTTAACTCATCAATGCAATTTTAGAGTTAACTTAGTACATTTTAAGCTTAATCAATATTTTTACTCTTTTATTAATAATAGCCTGCTTTAATTTCATTTAAATAGTTCTAAGCCTCCTCATTAATATGTATAGTTTATTCCATAGTTTTTAGTGTTAAACATTACCCACATAAATGTCTACTATCTTCATCACAGATTTCTTTAAGATTAGTGGCAATAATTTATTAATTATGAATTTTACACAATCTCTTATCTGAAGTCTAAGACATTTAATTAATAATAAATATTAATATTCAATTTCTATTGAAATTAAGGAGTATTCATTTTTAATAGATTGATGAAAAAAAATTTAATTATTAAACTAAATTGTGTATTTAGAGCAATCACATCAGACATTGAGAAAAATGTAATTGAATAAGTATTGTATGTTATAATTTTATATTATATACAATAATCTTATGGATATTGTTGATTGAAGATATTTAAAATTAAAAATGATCAAATAAAAGAATATCTGTGATCAAGAACAAATAATTAGAGTATTTTTAATTATTCTAATAATATATAAAATTTTTGATAGATTAGATAATTATAATATAATATAAAATAAAAAAAAAAACAATATTAGATTACTTAAAATTTAAAATAATTAGATAAATAATGAATTATCTAATCTTTATTCCTGATTAAGAATGTATTCAATAAATCATTTAACCTATTAATCATTATTTCTGAAAGCTTGTTATTTATAAAAATACCATATTTTTTTTGATAAAATTAAAATTCTATCAAAAATAGCTAAATATTAAAAAAATTTATAAGTGCTTAAACAACTTCTAAAAGATAGATTTTGAAGAATCAATACACAATATTGATTTTGTAATTGCTATTTGAAATCTTATTACATGAAAGAAAAACTTAAACCAAATATCATTTTTTATAATATACAATCATAAATTAAAAATTCCAAATAAGGATTCGTTAAATTTATGTATCATTACTCAAATAATAATTAGATATTAATTGGGAAACAAATTATATTTCTAAATTCTAATAGCCATTCAAATGAGAACTTTGAATAATGTGAGAAAAAATGTTTCAGAAAGAAATTAAAGAAATTAGAATTACCAAAAAATTATTAATATATTAAGTAAATCCTTTATCTTACAATGTAGATAGAAAATCTAGTTATTTAGAAAGGAGATTTTTTAATTAAAATCAAAAAAGATTAGAGAGTTCAGAGTTTGGATGCATAATTTCTGTATTTAAAATTAGTTTTAATTTTTGATCTAATGATCATAGGATTTAATTGAAAATCCTTAATTATATTAAGAAAAATAAAAGATAATTTTATATAAAAATTATCTTTAATTTAATTTTATTATATCAATATAAATAGTTAAATTAAAAAATTAATATTTTGAAGTAATTTATGTTAATTGATAACTTAATATAATAGAAATTGAATAAGTAATAGTTTCTTTTGATTTAAATTACTTTTAAGTGTTAATTTGTAGTATATAAAATTGGAAGTAAAATTTTAATTTAATAGGAGAATAAATTTAAATTGAAACTGATTTATTTAATTTTGATATTAATTTATTAGAAATTTGTTTAAATTCTAAAATGACTAGAATCTTTATTAATTTGCAAAAATATTAATAAATTATTATGTGCAATATTATTTTATATATCATTATCAAATTTACAATGTTTATTTAGTTGAATTAAACATATATAAATTTATAGTAAATGAATGAATTATAATTCATTTAATATAGATATTAATTGAGAATACGAGAATAAAAATCAGCAAAGGAGTTATGGCTTTCAACTTATTGCTGCTTTATGTTTATGCTACTTAAAGCATTCAATATGACTGGAAAAATGGGGATGATGCAAATATATGATTTCTTATATTCAACCAATTTTCCATTAGGTATTGATTCAGGACTAGTATGTTTTGGAAATGTTTAGTACAATATATATTTATTTTACATAGATGGTTTTGTTATGAGATGGCTGCCCCTTTGAGTTTACCTATTATTCCGATGCTTTTATTAAAAGTTTAGTTCAGATACATATTTTTCTTTTCCTCATTGGGATCTATTTTGTTTATTATACCCATTTAATTTGCAACAATATGTAAAGATTCTGACGAGTCAATTTGCAATGTCTATGTAATGTGGACATTCACTATAGTGTTTTCAGCTATATCAGGATTTTGTAAGACTTTACTACTTTTTTCAATGCTTTATTATTTGTCTAATTTGGCAGGTGGTCGGGAGAAGATAATTTACTATAGTTCATTCTATTTTATGTATGTATATAGATATTATAATTTAATATATAGACATCAATTTTAATGGTTGATTGGTAGTTTAATAGGGAATTTATTGGTTCATTTTTGTAGTAGAGGTTCATTAGTAGAGACATTAAAACATGTTTATATTATATTGATAATCAGTTCTTTGTTTTTATGTTCATTGTTTTTAACAATTCCAGATGAAAAAAAGAAATCAAAATTAAAAAAGTTTAATAAAATTATATCTCAATTGTTAATGCAAAATGGGAAGGAGAATAAAAAGATATTGAGATTAGAACTATAAAAAATGAATAAAAAGAATGAGTCAAATGAATTATATAATAAATTAATAGAGGAAGAAACTACTGGTGAAAGTGAAAAGATTTAATAAATAATGGATTAATAAACATAGATGATGTAGACTCAATAATTCTTTACAATTTAAAGTTTTTCATATGAAGAGAATAATTTATAGGATATTCTATCAGAGAAACCAAAATCATCTGATGATCTATAATGGGTTTATGCTGGTTAGAAAACTATATTAATGGAGGAATATGTTAAGAATAATTATTTTGGAAATCTATATTTAACTTTATCTGTTCTTTGTTCTGAAGGATTCTATTATTTTATTATTTTGATTTTTAATGTTGGAAGTTTGATGTCATATTTATTATTGTAATTGCCAAATCTATTGACAATAAATTCAGTATTGAATCCTGAAACTAGGGCTGCTACAATTTATGAAGGATTTTTGTATGTAGGGATAGGATAGATTTTTGGATGTTTTTATATAGGGATGTTTGGAGACTTCTCTTAAAAAATAACGTATAAAATTATATATTAAATTAAGAGGACTATATTATATTTTAGGAGTATATTAATTGGGATGTTTTTTGGCTTGGGGAATATATATATTTTAGATAGATTTTTTAGTATTTACAATGTCATTCATTTTTGGATTTAGTTGTTCAGCAATGATGTCAACAACTATATCATTTTAGATAGTTTATTTTTAAAAAGTACAATTTTATATTATAATAATAATAGTTCATCTACTCTGTCGATTTAATGTATATAATTTTCAGTTTTTCTTTCTCTATCACCTCCTTATTATATATTATAACTAACTTTTTCGGAAAATTTTGTGGTTTGATATTGTTATAGAGTTCAGGAATATTTGGATTATTATCAATTTGGAGAATACACATGAAATTGAAAGCAAAAGTGAATAAATAATAATAATGACTAATTATTATACAATAACAAATGAATAACTTTGTTCAATTCTTCAAGAATGTTGTTAATGAGTTTAACCATTATATGTACAATCTTTATTCTTTATCTAATGAATAATGTTCAATAAATGCTCCCAAATCATCATTTATTCCATAACCTTTCAAATAATCTACTAAAGCTAATTATAATTTCTATAAAATAATTATTAATTATTATTATTACCTCATCTAAAGTAATGAAATCTGGACCTGAATAATCTTATAATCCTCTTTCATATCTAGGAATCTTCTTATGAGCTTCTAAATCCTTAATTAAACTTACTAAATTAACATTAACCTAATATTATATTATAAATCTATACTTCTCCTTATGTAGTTGTACATTCATAGCATAAGATTTATCCATTACTCTTTTAAAGATATACTGTGAAATCAGCAAAATCAGATTGTGTTTCTTATTGTTCTTCTTCTTCTTCTTCCTATTGATTTTATTTATTCTTTTTTTATTATTCTTCTGGTTCTTCTGGTTCTTCTTCTTCTGAATTAGGTTGTCTTGATTAAAATTGTACAATGACTTTAACATCACCTACTTTTTTTTCTAATGTGACTTCATGATTATTTTCATCATCAATTAATTAGAAACCAGACTCTTCAATGAATTCAGTAACTGAATCATCTTCAACATAATTAGTTTTCTCATATTTTAATTCTTTCTCAACTATTTTGACTAATTTTTATCCAGCTATATTTATTAATATTAGATTGAATACTTTTATTGACCTTTTCTAATTATGTACAGAATGGAGCAAATACTCTTCTCATTTACAATGGTTTAATGGTATTTAACAATCTAAGAGGGATTTTAGAAATCATAGTATAAATTTTTAATTGTGATAATTTATTTAATGAAAAATATCGAAGAATTATTATTTCAATGTAATTTATTAATTTATTTAATGAAACAATAAGAAAAATTATAAATATTTCTTCAATATTTAAACAATCATGGTTACTATTAAACAATTAAAGAACTAATCTAAAAAACAAGTTATAATCAATTATAACAATTAGACTCAAAAGTTGATTCTTCAATTGTTTCCAAGATTACTACTTATATTCAGAATCATGATTTTGATTAATTGGAATAAATATTCAATACATATGTAAATTAAGAAAAGAAATAAAAATGCATGTTTATAATTGTCTAAAATCATTATATAGAACTATTATAATAACAAAAAATTAATGAAGCTGTTGAATTATTAAGAGGACGTTTATAAGATTGTTGTTTAGGTTCATTTTGTCTTATATAATAGATGAATAACAAAAACATCAATTAGCAAATCTAATTATAGAATCAGAAATTTAACCTCTTACTTGTGTTGAAATCATTAGACAAATCTTGCTTATATGTCATCAAGAAATTGGAGTCTTACAACCAAATAGACTTATGATTCTAATGCATTAAGCATAAGCAAATAAGATTTTAGAATGTAAAAATCATTGTAAATTGGAATCTAATTACTTAATCTCTTAGAAACATTTATGCACATAAAAATTAACAAAGAAAATTATACGAGAATAACATTTAATGTTTTAATTATATTTCTATTATGTAGATCTATTGTTCAATATTCTAATGATCTCTCATTATAAGTATAAGTATCTGATAAGGTAAATGTAATAATATATTAATAACAATTACAAAATAATTCAGAACTTTAATTAAATAAAATACGTACATTAAATGATTATCATCAAAGTGAGATTCTATCTGTTACAATATCACCTTGTAATCAATATATTGGTACTACATCAAAAGATAAAACAGCTATAATATTTGAATTAAGAAAGAATAAATAATTAGTATTAAATGCTCATTAGAGTCCAGTCTAAGATATGATTTGGGTTTTATAATCAAATTTTGTTAATGGAAATGGTGGTATCAATAAAAATTCTTAAAAACAAGAATTATTAGAATTAGAATCATTACTTTAAAATAATAATTAAACATCAGATACTTTAAAATTATTACAATACAAAATATGGACTATTGCAAATGATGGTTGGTTATTTGAATGGGATTAAGGAACTAAAATATATAGTCTAAAAACAGAAGAAAAAGTTAAAAAAATGCATTATGATTAAAATAAAGATTCACTAATTATTGTTAGTGAATATAAAATATCAATATATTAATTATCAAAAAAATAATTAATTCGATAATTAAGTTTGAATGATTAAATAATAGATGTAAAAATAGAAAAAGCTCAAACTTTTATAATTATCTTGAGTAAAAATATTAATTATTAATTTACTTATTATTCATTACCTAATCTTGAATTTGTGAAATTGTTTATAGAACATAACCCAAAATTATTAATTAAATAATTTGATATTGGTTGGCATAATAATAATTTAATAGTATGTTGTACTAATGAAGGAGTTACAATAATGTGGCATATCTAAAAAGGATAATTACCTTTCTTTCGAAAATAAGTAAATTATTATCAATTTAATAAAGATTCATAAAGGTCCAATAAATTTAGTTAGTATAGAGCCTTTGAGCTTTACTATAAGATACTTTGTAGAATAAGATTCATTGTTAAGTCAGATATAAAGGAATATAGCTTATTATTCAAGAGTTTTCACTGAATAACGTTCTCCTCTGGCTGAAAGATCAATGACAAGTGAAGATGATTTGTGACATTATAAAAATATAAATACAAATCAAAAAAACTCTTCTTTTAATTTCTTCTCTCCCCACATATTAATGATATCCAACTAATAATTAAATTCTAATATTTACTCTTCTGATTAAAGTTAAGATCTTACGAACTTTCTTATTGTCCTTAACCACTTCTCCCAAATCAGTTACCGAAGTAGACCAGGGATATGCTTTATTTCTTAATAGTAACTAAAATATTTATGATAAAATTCTTACTTCAATAATAGGAATATTATTTTCTTGTATAGCTAAATATAGAGGTGTTCTATTTAATATATCTATTGCATCAACATCTGCATGATATTTAATTAACATCTCAGTCATTTCATACAATCCTTTTTTACTAGACCAATGTAATGCAGACATATTAAAAAAATCAAAATCAAAAACCAAATATTTGTTTTTCTCTAAATATTAATGAACTTTTTCTAATTAATTTAGCTTGACTGCATGAATAAATTCTTAAGAAAAAGGTTTTTGATAAGGTCTTTTAGAAAATATTTATTTTTAGACCATCATTTTAGTTGTGATATTCATTTCTTTTAATTTTTTCAAAGCTCTTAGTAAACAATGTCTTAATTATTTTTTTGTTCTTTTTGGAGGCTTAATTTACTCTTTCAACAAATTTTCATCATCTACCGATTTAATAAAATTTCTTGTTTTTATCACTGAAGAATTTTCTAATCTATTTTCCTGTCTTGTTGGTGATTTAGTTGATAGCATAGTACTTTCATCAATATCAGTTTATTAAAATGCTCTATCTATTCTACTAGTTTATATTTTTATCTCCGTTTCACAAATTTAATCTGATTCTAAAGGGATTTTACGATTTCTAAATGTTTAAGATTAAGGAGATCTTGAAAGTGTTGTTTTGTTAGTACTTAATGGACTTGATACTAATTTTATTCTGAATCGAGGAGAGTTATTTTTACATAATTAATTTTCTAGTTTAATGGGAGCAATCTTTCTGATAATATTATCATTTGATGAAATTTTCTTTTCTTTTATAATAGATTTCTATTTCTCAAGGAATTCCTTAAATGAGAAATTTTTTGCTCCATCTTAAAGAATAAGAACTAAATTACTTTGATTTGATATTACTGTCATACTTTGTACTTCCATTAATTAAGGTCTAGGTTATCTATGGATTATAAGTATATTTCATACCTAAATTCTGATTGTATTTTGCGATAGCTTTAACCCATAGATTTCTTCATTTACAATTATTTTCTTAAACTTGGTAGTATAAATTTATGATAAAAATAATATTCTAAATATAAATGTTTAAGTAAATCATAAATATAAGAAAAACTACTTTAAAAATCTTTTATGAATATAAAAATCTATATATAAAAATTGTTTTTAACATTAATAAATATTATTCATTCTGTATGAATGTAAGACCATCCATCAATATGAGATTTTTCTATTTCAATAAAACTTTGTAAATCAAATACATTTTAAACACCTTTAGATAACAAATTTATCTTATTATTAGGTTTTGGTAATTTAAGTTCTCTATTAAATACTTATTCCCAATTTATATCTTAAAAATAAGGATGTTATTTCACTTCCAAGTAATCTCCTTCTCCAGAACCTAATCGATTTATTGGATTTCTATTTAATAACTAAAGTAATAATTAATATCTTACTGCTTTCAAAAGACTCTTTCCTTCAACAGAAATTTTATTTGGAATTTGAAGTTCTTCATTCTAAATGTTATTAAATAAAACATCCTTATCATTTGAATAATATGGAGGCAATCCAGTTAAGAGTTCATACATAACAACTCCAAGTAAATACCAATCTAAAGCTTTGCCATGTCCTTATCTTTTAAGCATTTCTGGAGCTAAATATGCTACTGAACCACAAAAGGATTAAGCTCCTCTATTAGCATCTAAAATTCCTTCTTTTGATAAACCAAAATCTGTTAATAAAGCATGACCTTCTGAATCAAGTACAATATTATCTGGTTTCAAATCTCGAAATATTATATCTCTTTTATGAAGATCCTCTAATGCCAAAATTATTTCACACATATATAGTTTGACTAAATCTTCAGACAATCGTTTTTATTTAGTTAAAATCTAACCTAAGTCACCTCCAGGACAATAATCTAATATCATAAATAATTTATCCTAAGTCTAAAAAGCATATCTTAATTTAACAATAAATGGATGTGAAGATACTGATAAAACATTTCTTTCTGTTATTGCATATCTACAAATATTTTATTCTAATATATATATAGTAATTAATACTAAAAATTAAACTTTTACGAAGTACTTTCATTGCATATAAATTTTATTATTTCTATACAAGATATACTTCTCCAAAACTTCCTCTACCTAAAAGTCCAATTATTTTAAATTATTATGGACCTACTCTTTCATCATCCTTAGATTTTGATTATTTCATTGAATCATTAGTAGATGGAGTATTTATTAAAATTTAATTTATTTGATTAGATTATTGATTTAAACTTTTTTATTTTATTTCATATTTAATTATATGATTAGAACTTTCTTTCAATTGACATTTTTTTTATTNTCATAAATATAAGAAAAACTACTTTAAAAATCTTTTATGAATATAAAAATCTATATATAAAAATTGTTTTTAACATTAATAAATATTATTCATTCTGTATGAATGTAAGACCATCCATCAATATGAGATTTTTCTATTTCAATAAAACTTTGTAAATCAAATACATTTTAAACACCTTTAGATAACAAATTTATCTTATTATTAGGTTTTGGTAATTTAAGTTCTCTATTAAATACTTATTCCCAATTTATATCTTAAAAATAAGGATGTTATTTCACTTCCAAGTAATCTCCTTCTCCAGAACCTAATCGATTTATTGGATTTCTATTTAATAACTAAAGTAATAATTAATATCTTACTGCTTTCAAAAGACTCTTTCCTTCAACAGAAATTTTATTTGGAATTTGAAGTTCTTCATTCTAAATGTTATTAAATAAAACATCCTTATCATTTGAATAATATGGAGGCAATCCAGTTAAGAGTTCATACATAACAACTCCAAGTAAATACCAATCTAAAGCTTTGCCATGTCCTTATCTTTTAAGCATTTCTGGAGCTAAATATGCTACTGAACCACAAAAGGATTAAGCTCCTCTATTAGCATCTAAAATTCCTTCTTTTGATAAACCAAAATCTGTTAATAAAGCATGACCTTCTGAATCAAGTACAATATTATCTGGTTTCAAATCTCGAAATATTATATCTCTTTTATGAAGATCCTCTAATGCCAAAATTATTTCACACATATATAGTTTGACTAAATCTTCAGACAATCGTTTTTATTTAGTTAAAATCTAACCTAAGTCACCTCCAGGACAATAATCTAATATCATAAATAATTTATCCTAAGTCTAAAAAGCATATCTTAATTTAACAATAAATGGATGTGAAGATACTGATAAAACATTTCTTTCTGTTATTGCATATCTACAAATATTTTATTCTAATATATATATAGTAATTAATACTAAAAATTAAACTTTTACGAAGTACTTTCATTGCATATAAATTTTATTATTTCTATACAAGATATACTTCTCCAAAACTTCCTCTACCTAAAAGTCCAATTATTTTAAATTATTATGGACCTACTCTTTCATCATCCTTAGATTTTGATTATTTCATTGAATCATTAGTAGATGGAGTATTTATTAAAATTTAATTTATTTGATTAGATTATTGATTTAAACTTTTTTATTTTATTTCATATTTAATTATATGATTAGAACTTTCTTTCAATTGACATTTTTTTTATTTTTTAAAATACTCTGTCAAAATATTTTAAATTTTTATCTCTTTTGTTCTTTTTTCTAAATTATTATATCTATTACTTTTTGTAGATAGATGGTAATTTTAAAACAATACTTGAATTTCTTATTGATTTATATAACATTCTGGTATTTTTTATTCATTATTTTTTCTAATTTAAATTCCATTCATTTTTAGTAAACATTCAACCACATCTTTCTAATTAAATTTACAAGCATAATGTAATGATGTATCTCCCTTATTATCTGAATGATTGATATCTGCTCCTTCATCATATAAAATTAGTATTATGTCTATATAGCCGCTTTTAATATTAAATCAAAGTTTACTGAATACAAGCTAACATAAAAGGTGTTTTCTATTCAGAATTAACCAAATCAATTTAAATTTGTTTAAAAATCAAAGCTTACACAAGTGAAATATTTTCATTCAATACTGCATAATGTAAAGCAGAATTCTTGTTCATATCTTGAAAATTTATATAAGCTTTTAAGTTAGAATTTATTGGAATTAATGAATTTAAGTTTACTAAGATTATAAAATTGATTCTTACATATTTAATGTACAAAAGTAGGTTCAAGTAATTAAAGACACTTATCGGTTCTATTATCTTTGCTTTCTTTTATAAATTAATTACTAATTTCTGTTTTTTTATAATGAATTATGTTTACACATTAAATATAATTGCAAAAGTTAGCTTTCTTTTCCTAACTCATATTTTGGATCTCTTTTTTAATGATTAAATTATTAGTCAATTGTTTTTGAGGATCTTGATCTTTCAATAGAAAGCTTAGAATTATCAAGAATTGCCCTAATATCAGGGGATTTTTATGGTGGTTTAGCTTTAAAATTAGAGGTCGTCTTTATCAAAATTCGATCCAATGATTTTAATCTGCTTATTTTATCATATAAAGCAAGTAGAGGTGGACTTTGATATTCATTTGACTTGCACGATTACATATCAAATCGAAGGTTATTTTAATAATGATAAACCAAAAATATGATTTTCAGATTCTATTTATTAACTATTAGAGGAGAATAACTTTATAAAAATAATTTATTTATTCTATATTTATAATGTTCATCTTAAATTTGATATTGATGATAGGAAGTAATTATGATTCTTTTAACAACAAATAAAAAATGATAAATTCATACTCAGCAGATAAAAACTATTAATTTTTATATAAAATTGCTATTTTAATTTATTAATCATCATTAAATTTGAGTGTTAATGTCTAATTTTTAGATTCTATTAATGAGGAAACTTATATTATTTAAGATCCTTATAAGCAATTTTTAATTAGAAGTATTGTTTAAATATATAAATATCTCAGAAACATAATAATTTTGATTACTATGACCTTTCTAATATTTTAATAATTTTAAGTGGAAATCTAAAAAATATCTACTTATTAATTAATTAGATTCAATAAAAATTAAAAATTGTTTATAATCTAGTAGGATGATTTTTTATAAAAAGAAATAAAATTTAAATGAAACTATATTATTGTACTTTATTTTGGAAATAAATAATATTTAAGTAATAAATATAATTAGATAAAAGATTTAAACTTAAATTACGTTATTCTATATTAAAACACAAATAGTTTTCAATTGTAAAAATTGGGAATAAATTATAATAATAAAATAATAAATCTATCTGATTTTTTTTATATGTATAAATGAATAATCAAAATAAGAGAATAATTTTTTAGGATATAATACATGAATATTAGCTATAAAGATTATTTAAAATAGTTATCAGTTTAAAAAGTTGATCAATTTTAAATATTGAATTCTATATTAAGCCGGTTAAACTTATTTAAATTTAAAACTTCGATATAATAAAATAAAAATTTGTGAATACAAAAATTGTTAAAAATGATGCTTTATCTTAGTTAAGTCAATATAGTGATTTTTCAAATTTAGATACCTATGATATTTATTTTATTCTTATATCTTCATATTGTGTTAGACAGTATAGAAATTGAAGTTTCAGATATTATTATGTGTCTATACTATTTAATCACACAGCAATTATATAAACCTACTATATATTTTTAATTTAGTCATTAATTTTATATTATTATTTAGCCATGTACAAAAAATATGAATATAAATATTCTATAATCTATTTTGTTTAGATTAAATAAAAATTAATAATAGAAGAAATGGATTTAAATAAAAAAACATGAAACTAAAAAATGATTGTTGATTTTTCTTATAGGTTTATATATATATATATATATATATTAAATAATAATTATAAAAGAGCTATTGACACAATAATTAATTGTGATGCTCACAGTGAGTAATTATTAATTATTAATTCATTGAACAGCTTTAAGAATTTCCCCTCCTACAAATTGTTCCTTCAGATGTTAATACTTGGCAATAATCTCTAAAGGTATCATATTCAATAAGCCCTGTAATAATCACGAATAAGAGTACCTTAGTTTCCCAAATTTATTCACTCAAATTATTTTAGTATTGAGTCATGCAAAAGATGAATACAAAGAACATAATAATTAGAAACACAGCAAATTTAACTTATTCAATCATTTCCTAATATGATAGATAATCTAAAGTAGATTCCTAATACTACAAAGTTAGATAATAGCAACAATTAGATACATATTACATAATAGTGTCTAGTTTTTTATAATATTCTTTCAAAGTTTAGGATAAATCATCATATGTTTTATTACTTAAAGACCATTTAGCTAACATATCATTTGATGTTAATGCAACTGAAGCTATTGTTGTTTTTAATCCTTATTATAAAAGGCCAGCCTATACTTCCATACAAGTTGTGCCTACTAAAGTGAATTAATTAACAGTAAATGGATAATCACATAGACTATTAAATGAAATACCAGCTAATAATTAAAAATAGGAATCAAATTATGATGGATGAGATTATTAAATTTCAATAGATATATTTCTTTCATTTTCTGATTATCTGTTTTGAAAGACATTCTTATATGTATCTAAAGAAGTGGGATCCTCTAATAACAATTACTCAATTGACAAATACATATAATATTTGATATTAATAGGTCTATCTTCTATATTTTTAAGATGATCAAATATATTTTGAGTTTCTTTGAGGAAATATGATTCTAATATAATATCTAAAACAAAATATGAAATAAATAGTAGAGCAAAGAATATAAATTAAACAGTTACAGCACATTTATGACTTCCTTAAGAATTCAATAATTTATTTGCTTTTAAATTTTCTTAATCATCATCCTTTTCTTCCTCCTTTTATTATTATTTCTTTTATGAATGTTTTAAATCATGTTTAGTTGCACCTTAAGAAATAGGAATAGGAATTTAAGGTTAACCATCAGAAGTTAAATTTGATAATTATTTAACATGACTTACACTTTGATGTCCTGATGATAATAATTTTTAAGGTTTTTAAATAAGTTTGCTAGCATCATCTTCATTACTTTCTTATTTTTCTTAATGTTCCTTATTTATTAATGGTTATTCTCCATGTCCAGATGTATGAATAATATTTTAATGAGTAATTTATGCTTCTTATACTTTAGTGTGTTTATGAGAATCTCCTTATTCATTTAAAAAATTCTTTAAATACTATTCACATTTAGTGACCAAATCCTTTAATTCATTCACAGGTATGATACCAAATAGAGATAATACTTTATTATTAGTATCATGTACTTATGAAACAATTGGAATTAAGACTAATGAGGAAATGATGAGGAATGCAATACCAATGATCATAATAATCAAGAATTTTATTAAGTAATCTTAAATAAGATTAGAATAAAATTCATAGAAATTGTTAGCTATGTTTTCTGATCCATTTCTTAATACATAATATCCATTATTGATTAGAAAATAGAAATTCTTATAACCACTATTTGAAGATTATATAAATGAATCATTAGAAGCATTATCTAATTAAGAACCAGAAGTAATAAAATACATCATAGCATCATCAAATAATAAATCTTAATTACTTTCTTATCCATTAGACATTAAAAATTTAGTTGTATACTTTTAAGGTTAAATTTAATTTCCTTTTCTATTTTCCATAATTAATCTAACATTAATTAAGTCATATTGTAATTATTATAATGAATTAACCCAATATTATAAATCTGATTTAACTATTTACATATCATCATCATAAGTATTATTATAAATTAATTATAATTTTCTAGCATTGTAAACAACATCAGATATAATATTATGTCTATAATAACCTTAATAGATAGCATTAACACCTTCTTTAACATCATTACTTTAAATGACTCTATATGCCATAATTAAAGTACTTAATGTTAATAATAATATCATAATAAACCAAACTGTACGTTTTAAAATGATTATAGATCTAGGTTAAGTTTTGGATGATATCATTTATTTGAATTCTTTTAATTCTTTTTGATTATTTTCAGTTCTAGATGATCTACTAGAATTACCATCTTCAATAACAGGTTATAAATGATCACTAATTTTATTATCTTGATTATTTTAATTTTATTTTGAATTCATTGAATCCATTTTCATTATTTATTCACTTTATTCATCTTCTTTAATCCACATAAATTTAATTGTTTATAAATTTTATTCTCCAATTTTTAATTAATCACATAATACTAATTTTATTTTATATTTTTTATATCTTTGTAATTTATCATTCTTTTTTTTCTTAAAATCAACAGTTTAAAATCTATTAAATAATGGACTTGGTGTATCAGAAACTTAATCTTATTATTTTTATTCCATTGGTTTTAATAAATATCTTTATATTCTTGTATCATTTGATGATCTTAATGGATCATGAGGAAATTCACAAAATTAATCATCATCATCTTCTACAGATATTTCACTCTAACTTTCTCCTATTCCTTATAAATAATCTTCTTATAATTAAGTAGTATCTAAATAAGTCAAAATTCCATCTTCCATATTAATATGTTCTTCTACATTTGGAAAAAGTACATCAAATGTAAATTTTTATTTGAATGTATTATTAGTCATTATAGATTGTGGAATTCCAAATATTTATGTACATGATTAAGTGATACCCAAAATAGTTTAAGTGTATCCATCAACTATAATATAATGCCATTCTTCATTTGATTCTTATTAATTATTATAATCTTATAAAAATCCAACCATCTTTATACCTTCATCTAAATTTGGAAGTATTTTAATCATTAAAGAACATGGTACTAAATATTATTATGAATTTATGCAACATAAGATTCTCTCTTTATCCATTACTTTTGGTTTACTAGATTCTATATAATCAATCATATATTAATCATGATGACTTGCATATATTTTTGGCATAATACAATTGATATTAATACCCATAATATCACTCTTGCTAAATTATAATAAACGTGTAATTTCATTATTACAATTAGTAACCACTCCCATATTATTAAAATTACCAGAACATGTTATAATACATGTATTAGCATTCTCTCCATATTTTAATCTTATTTAATCATGTATCTTATTATTTTAAAATTATTTTATTAATATTTGAACTCTATCTAAAATTCTATTTGATTCATCTTCATCATTAACTATTTCCTTTAAGAAATTACCATAAATGGTTAAAAATTTTATATGATTAGAATTCAATTCTTGTAATTTCTGATATTATATCATTGTTTATTCTAATTTTTTTGTTATTTTAGATCCAACTACTTTCAATTTTAAAATATCAGGATTAGTTTCTAATAATTCACGCCAATATTCAATATGATAATTTACAGTCTTCTCTACAGCATTCAAAAATATTATAAATGTATTTTAAAATACCATTATACCATTAACATCAATTCCTTTATTTTCATTTGTTTTTTATTCCATATCTTTTAATTTTTATTAAATAATATTTTTATAATGATACATAGCCAATTCTTCCTATAATGATGGTTTATTATCTTCAGCAAACATCATTTCTGTTAATGCTTTAAAATGATTGTTTAATTGATCATTTAATAAAAATGCATATAAAAGATTAATTCTACAACTCTTATTAAATTTCTCTCTCATTTCATTCAATAAAAATCCCAAAAATTTATACCAATATTAATCAATCTCCTCTTCCTTTATATTTTCAAGCATCAATGCCTTACAAATACATTCTTTATTTTAACATGCTTTTGAATGTAATCTCAATTTGCCTTCCAATAACATTCTAGACCATATCTTTTTTCTTTGTCTTATCAATTTTATTACTGCTATCAAATATATTTCAGCCTCTATATCTCTTTCTATATTTCTAAATAGAATTGATAAGACTTTCTTATTTTGTAAATGTAACAAGTGAAAATAAACTAGAACTACCAAAGGGATACCTATTATCATATAGAAAAACCCTATGTCTTCAGCCTAATCATAATTAATGAAAGCTGTAAAGAAACTAACAAGTGTTATCCATAACAAAGTGACTTCCTCTATTATTGAAATCCAGGCAACCCATTTATTATAATATTTTGGTTACTTGAATCTTTAAACATTTAGATAGATGTATGATAAACATAATAATGATATGAATACTCTATCTAATGATCCTTAATAATCAAATATAGTATAAATAGGCAATACTATTTTAATTATTTGTTTTATCAATGTGGCACTTTATTAAGGGCTAGCAAATGGAATAGTAGAAAATGGATTCTATTCCATGAAAATCAAATTGAAGTAAACAATATGAATAAAATGCATGAATAATCCCAAAAACTAAATATATTTAGAACATATATTTTTACAGAAAATACAAAATGAGCATAATAAGCTCCGACATAGCATTCAAAATTGGAATTTACACAATATAGTATAGCAATGTAAACATTAGTAAATGGAATCAATAGGATAGTGTTGAAAAATACTCCAAAGTATGCTATAAGTCTATATGTGTAGATATAAAATGTAGTATGCTTTTTCAAATTACATAAGATCACTATCTTCAATATGATCATGAGTAATTATACTGCGAATACCTTAATAGGTGATTTGAATTACTATGTATAAAAGTGCCAACTATATTTCTATTTGTCCTTTACTTAATACATCATTTGGTTAGAAATAGGATAGAATTAAACGGAAATATTTGAAAATGGGTGTTTGAAAAAGAAATGCAAAGCTAGGATGTATTGAATAGTACACCTTAAAATTATAATGATTTTAATTACCATTTGAATGGTTTCCAATAAAATTAGAAAATTGTATAAATGTACAGTTACAACACTATTTAATAGTAAATTATGTGTAAGGTTATAAATGGACATCTTTAAGGAATGAATCCATAGATCCCATTTTGAATACTCAAATAGAGTCTTCCTATTATTCATTATCATTAGTTTTAAATTATAACAATAATAATAAAATAATGAATTAATTCCACTTAACATAATAGAATTAGATAACAATATAGAACCCTAATAATGGGACAGTCTATTTTCTTTATAATAAAAGATTCACAGACTATAACTTAGATAGATATGAAGGTGAAATAAAAGATACAAAAAGTAAAATATTATGTGATTGTTTAAAACAATTTAGTGATCAATTTATGAGATGCTTAGATGAATTAATTTCAAATCCATAAGAAAATATTATAAATTATCTAGATTTCTTTATAGATCCTAATAATAAATTGTTGTATGTGATTTATCAATATGTTGATTAAGAATCATTCCTTAATTATTAATTATAGAATTTAAAATTAGATGAAAAATAAAAATATAAAATTTGTTCTGATGTTTCAAAAGGAATATATTATCTTCATTTAATCAGTTACAGACACAGAAATATAAATCCTGAAAATATATGTTTTGTTGATGGATAGTATAAAATTACTCATTTAAATTATGTTGTTCATTTTGTTATGAAAGATAAATTAGATGTTGTTGGCAATAGTTGTTATTGGAGTTAAGAATTACTATTAAATCATGATTATAATCATACAATAGATATATTTGCCTTCGCTTGTGTAGCATTTGAAATCTTTACTCTATAGAAATTGTTCACTCCCTAAGACGATAGATTGAGGATACCAGTAGGAAAAATGCAAGAATTTTAAAAATTGCCCTTCAAAATATAATAATTTATCAATTTAGTTATTGTATAAGGATAACGAGATTTAAAACCTTTTCTAGAAAATTAGGCTTAACTATTAGAAAATTAAAAGAAATTAGCATCATAGATAGGATAATAATAAATTAGCTTTGAGATAAATAAGAAACCTAACATAAATAACATGCATAACATAAATAATATAAATAACATAAATAATTTAAATAACTTAAATACCTTAAATAACTAAACTAACTAACATACCTTAAATAACTTAAATAACCAAAATAACTTAAATAACCAAAATAACTTAAATAACTTAAATAACTAAAATAATAACTTATAACCTTTTTCAATTAATTAATTTCGAGACTAAAAGCGTCCATCCACTGTAAAAAATTTTAATTAACCATAATTTGCTCAAAACAAAATCTCTAATTAACCAAAATAACCAGATGCTATTGTATAATCAAGTATACCTTAATAATAGTAAGTACAATTTTAATCTTTATAAAAACAATAAAATTCAAATACTTTTGTACCATTTTAATTACAACCATAATAAGATAGATAACAATAACCAATCTAAAGAATAATTACACCTCTATCAACTACAGATGCTAAACCTAAAATTCCAGCTTTTCCAAATTCAATTAATGAAATTCATTAAGTACCTTAAATGCTTAATCAATAATTTTAATTTAATTAGAATTTTGCTCCTCCTATTCTTTTGGAAACTTCATAAAATTTTCATTAAAAAAAAAGTTCATATCCAAATTTGAACGATTACGACTAAAATTAAGATATCTTTAAATGCTAAATTGATACTTCGAAGGAAGAAAGAGAAAGAGAATAACAAAAAAAAAATTAAATTTTTAATGAAGTATAGAAATATGTAAAGGTTGAATAATAATAAAAAGTAGCAACAGATTGTTATGAATTAGATAAATAAAGTCAGGATTTAAGCATAGAAGAAATGTTGGAAAAAATTATTAAGAAAAGAGTTTAAGATAATTTGAGTCTTACAATTGTATGATTCTATATAAAATATTAATTTCCTTTAATAATCAATCATTAATTGTATGTATTATTAATAAAATGATGAAAAATTGTTGGATGATATCATTCAATATTACATCATTTAGATTTATATAATTTTTGAATGATTAAGTAATTGCTTGCTATTGTGGCTATAGGAACAATATCAATATTACCATACCTTGACAACACAGATTATAATCCTTGGTTTGAAGGTGATACATTAATTATCTCCACTGATGGAAGTATGAAAAGAATTAGTAGATTTGATCCTAATTGGAAGCCATAATCAGCATATGAGTAATTATAGATTTAGATAATTCTAGAGAATATCATGAACAAATATATCAAGAATAAGAAAAATAGCGCAAAGAAAAAATGTCAGATTTCTTAAATACAACAGCTAACATTTGTACAAATGGAAAAGATCATACTAAAATGACTTTAGAAAATTATATGAATGAATTTATCAATGGTCCTTGCTAACCAGCTGTCTTAGTACCTGGTTTGATTGGTACAGCATTATAGGTATATATATATAATTCTATAATTTTATAGGTAAAAATTGATTGTGAAACCTTATAATCAAAAAGACCTGATATATTTGAAAATTGTGGTTGGTAAACTTGTAGTTCATCTAAATTCTGGTTAAAAAAACCAAGTGAAGAATATAGAATGTGGATAGGCACATTAACTGGTCCATTTTCAATTGCAATGACTAATAAAAAAGATAAATGTTTTGGAGATTTTATTGAACTATATTATGATAAATCTAAAAAGGATCCAAGAGAAAGATATACAGCTGCTCCAGGTATTGAAATAACTTGGGCTGGTAACACACCAAAATCAATGGATAATGAATGTGGAACAACTGCTATCTAAGAAATTGCCACTGATTCCGTTATCAAAGCAGCTATGTGTGATCCTAAAGGATATCATGTTTTCTCAGATACACTTAAAAATATGGGTTATATTCCAGGATTAACTATGCAAGCTGCTCCATATGATTTTAGAAAATCTATTGCAGCTTCAGAATCCCAATAATATATTAAGAAATCTGTTGAAACATTCTACAGATTGACTGGAAAGAAAACTTATATTTTTGGACATTCTTTGGGTTCACTTCATTCTACATAAGCAGTTTATTCAATGACTTAAGCAGAAAAAGATAAAGTTGCTGGTATTGTTACAATAGCTGGACCTTTATTGGGAGCAACCAAAACATTTAAACCTTAAGTAGGTGGAGATGATAGTTTTATGTTTAAAGTCTTAATCTTGGATGCTGGTATTAACTGGTATGCTTAAAAGAAGATGGCTCGTACTTCTGCTAGTATTGTTGATTTGTATCCAAAAGATACATTTACAAGATTCAGAGGAGAACCATGGATGTAAGAAATTCTTGATAGAATGGATTGGGATAAAGAATTCATTTCAACTGGTAAGAGACCAACAAGACCAAATCCATTATCATGGTTCCCAGAACCTGATTAAGTTTGTGGTGCTGATTTTGCTGACAGATCTAATCATTGTTAATTATTAATGCATGACATGAGTGAACACTTTTTAAAAGTAGTTGATAAATTGTATTATTCAACTGAAGAATCTACTAAAGAAGCTATTACTGATAATATTAATGCTAATGATGCTAAATAAATACTAGATTATGTTGAAGAAACAACAAGAGTAAAAGCTAATAATGTTGAACATCCAGGAGTTCCTATGGTTGTAGTTTATGCTGCACATGAAATGACTCCATTCTAATTTGAATATACAAAATAACCTAAACCTATTGTTGATTCTACTGATGATTTCTATTTCCCAGATCATATTACTAAAGCTATTGGAGATAGTACAGTCCTTGCTTCCTCATCTATGACTCCAGGTATTAAATGGATTTATGAACATAATCATGGATTAACTAATATTCCAACCAAATTAGTTGAATATTGTTCATAATATAATGGAGATACAGTCTCATCTATATATGATTCAAAAGATGCTCAAGGATAAAAATTATTTACAAATTCAGGATATTTAGGTCTTACTTGTTCTTGTAAATATGGAAAAACTGTAAATTTATTTAATTTATCATTTTAAGGGAATTGACCATTGTGGACATGCTTGTATGATTTAAGATACCTTATTTATTGAGTTTGCTGCTGATGTTCTTACAACACATTGGAAATCTACCATTTCATAAACACCAGCCACTGAAGCTGAACTTAAAAACATTCATGAAGGATGTACCAATTTACATTGATTATATCAATAAATTCCAATTATATCAATGCATTCCTATTATAATATAACAAAAATATATATTTAACCATATATATTATTTCATTTCTGACAATTTTTCAATAAATTCTAATGAACTAAATTTAGATGCCTATGTGTCCAAATCATCAATTACCTATTGTTGATATTACTTTAATTTCATCTCCTACATAAGAATTTCATTTACTTTGTTCAAAATGTCCTAAATCATTAAATTAGAATGTTAAGATAATTCAAATTTTAGATCAGCTTTCAATTATCCATATTTAAGAGGAATCGTATATTAAAAACTATCTTAATTTTTTATTAAGTAGAATAAATACAATTAAGTAAGATTTTCTTTAAGTGATTGAATATTTTAGTAAATAAGTAAAGGATTAAATTAAATTTTTCAAGAAACAAATAATTACTCCTCAAACTATTAACTATTATTCTACTGCCTAATAATTTACTTCAGAAGATTTAAAACAATTAAGTATAATGTTTGCACTCAATTTTAAATAAAACAATCATTCATTTTAATACAGTAAGACAAATGCTATCATGAAATAATAAATTATGATACTTCATGATAAAATTAAAACAGTAAATTAAATCAAAACTTAAATTGAAAATTCTTTCAATCCTGATTATTAAATCTCAAGTTAAATTTAGACTGATGAACAAGATTGTTTTAAAGAAGAATAAACAGGATATAAATAATATATTGAGAAAGATAAGATAGAATATTCTTAGTAAATTAGAGGGATAGAATTTAGTGCTAATAATTAATATGTTTTTGCTTTTAGTCATGAACTACCTTTAACTGCCTTTAAAATTATAAACAACAAATTGAATGTTTGTTAAAAATTAGAATAAAAACCATAAAATATTTCTAAGATTTCAAGTAGTAAAACAATAAATAGGATTTATGCTTGTTCTGATAAAATGATTAATGTTTATGAGGAAAACTAATAAAAACTTTGGTAATTTACTAAATAATTTGATATGTAAAAAACTATACATTTAATTTAAGTCAGTATCAATGAAAATATAGTAATAACTTCATTTAATAATATCATAATATTCTATCCATAATAAGAGAATGATGAAAAAAATAAAATACATTTTCCTTAAAAACACAAGAAAAATGTGCATGATTTAAGTTTTAATTATAATGCGACATTTATGATAACTACAAGTGAAGACATTTTTATAATATGGAAGATTTGTAATCAAAATAAAATAGAAATACATTAATATTTTGAAAATCAATCAAATATCTATGCTTAATTTAGTGATTCTGCTGAGAATATTATTTGTACAGTCAATAGATTTGGAGATCGTAATTTTTGGAAACCAGATAGNTATATATTATTTCATTTCTGACAATTTTTCAATAAATTCTAATGAACTAAATTTAGATGCCTATGTGTCCAAATCATCAATTACCTATTGTTGATATTACTTTAATTTCATCTCCTACATAAGAATTTCATTTACTTTGTTCAAAATGTCCTAAATCATTAAATTAGAATGTTAAGATAATTCAAATTTTAGATCAGCTTTCAATTATCCATATTTAAGAGGAATCGTATATTAAAAACTATCTTAATTTTTTATTAAGTAGAATAAATACAATTAAGTAAGATTTTCTTTAAGTGATTGAATATTTTAGTAAATAAGTAAAGGATTAAATTAAATTTTTCAAGAAACAAATAATTACTCCTCAAACTATTAACTATTATTCTACTGCCTAATAATTTACTTCAGAAGATTTAAAACAATTAAGTATAATGTTTGCACTCAATTTTAAATAAAACAATCATTCATTTTAATACAGTAAGACAAATGCTATCATGAAATAATAAATTATGATACTTCATGATAAAATTAAAACAGTAAATTAAATCAAAACTTAAATTGAAAATTCTTTCAATCCTGATTATTAAATCTCAAGTTAAATTTAGACTGATGAACAAGATTGTTTTAAAGAAGAATAAACAGGATATAAATAATATATTGAGAAAGATAAGATAGAATATTCTTAGTAAATTAGAGGGATAGAATTTAGTGCTAATAATTAATATGTTTTTGCTTTTAGTCATGAACTACCTTTAACTGCCTTTAAAATTATAAACAACAAATTGAATGTTTGTTAAAAATTAGAATAAAAACCATAAAATATTTCTAAGATTTCAAGTAGTAAAACAATAAATAGGATTTATGCTTGTTCTGATAAAATGATTAATGTTTATGAGGAAAACTAATAAAAACTTTGGTAATTTACTAAATAATTTGATATGTAAAAAACTATACATTTAATTTAAGTCAGTATCAATGAAAATATAGTAATAACTTCATTTAATAATATCATAATATTCTATCCATAATAAGAGAATGATGAAAAAAATAAAATACATTTTCCTTAAAAACACAAGAAAAATGTGCATGATTTAAGTTTTAATTATAATGCGACATTTATGATAACTACAAGTGAAGACATTTTTATAATATGGAAGATTTGTAATCAAAATAAAATAGAAATACATTAATATTTTGAAAATCAATCAAATATCTATGCTTAATTTAGTGATTCTGCTGAGAATATTATTTGTACAGTCAATAGATTTGGAGATCGTAATTTTTGGAAACCAGATAGTAAAGGTTTATATTATGAAACATAAACAATTTATTAAAAATCTTCTACTTTTGGATGCACAATTAAATTTCGATTAAATTCAAAATTAATTATTATGGGAAATCATTAAATTTAAATTTTTGAAGAAGATTAATAAAATGATAATGAATGGAAAGTAGAGTAATAAATTAAAATTAATTGTTATAATCTTGATGTATCAAAGGATGGTAAATATATTGTTGCTGATGATTTTTCAAAGCTTTGTCTTTTTGTTAGAGAAGAGTGATATAAAATATTATATTAAAAAAAAGAATTAATAATTCAATTAAAATTTTTAAATAAAATTATTTAAGTATCATAAAAGATATTAAGCTGTTTACATTCAATATTATTATTTGTACATTTATTTATGAATCTTTCTAATGATCCTCCACGAGATGGTGCTGCACCTATAACAAAACAAAATCTTTTAATCATTTTAATTAAATCATCATGATAATTCTCAAAAAAGAAGCAATCAGATATTAATCCACATGTATTTACATAAGGATCACCAGATTGCCATTTTAATACTTCTACTTATATATTAATTTCATTTAAAATCACATTTTCTTTTAGTTCATTAATAATTTATTAATTTCCATCTGTTAGAATAACATTAAAACCTTTTTTTGCTAATACTAATCCACAAAAACCAGATCTTCCTGCTCCAAGTTCAATTATATTGTAATTTTTAATTTTATCTATATCACTTAATATATATTATGTTAAAATGATTTCAGATGGCCAATAAAAGGCACCTGTATTATCTATATCATTTTCATTAACTTAATTCAATTAACTTTTATCAGGTAATAATTATTTATTAGATTATTTGATAATTACATCCTCTACATAATATATTAAAATATCATCTTTCATTTCTTTTTTAAATATTTGCACTTCATTTATATCTGGATTATAGTCTTTGTTCTCTAGAAGATAACCCTTCAATTTTTTCCATAATTTTTAACCTTTCATTAAAAAATATAATATGAAATTATTCAGATTTGCATACAGCTTCTCAAAATACTCATCTTAGAATCATTCCCTTTTATAACAAATATATTCATATAACTATAGAGATCACTATATTGCTTACTTACTTTTAGATCATTAATCAAAATCAATAATTTCAATTGATCCTGGAGATTTTGAAGCTGCTTTCTATAATATAAAAAATCTAGAAGTAAATTCAGGATATAAGTTGAATTATATCCTTTAAACACATGGAAGATCTAATCATACATCAAGTGTTTTAGAACTTTATTCAAAATTTAAGGATGCAAAAGTATATAGTGGAATAGTTGAAAATAAATTGGGCACTCTTTTTTAAACAGATTTTGCTAGAGAATTTTAACCATTTTAAATTGGAGATTTAGCAATTTGTTTCATTTAAGCTAATGGACGTAAATTCAATTCTTTATTTTTAGATACTTTTGATAATTATATGATAGCTGTAACAGACACTAATGCTTAATCAACTAAAATACCCATATTATTTTCAGGAGATACCATATTAGTTAAGTAAATTTATATAAAATTATGATAAGTAATGTTGGTGAAATAGAAGATTATGGAGCATTCTTTGCAACTTTATAAAAATTAAGAGGATTTCATGATGAAACTTTAATCTTTCCAGGTCATCTACCATAATAAGAAGTATTTCTATTTGCAAAAACTCTTGAACCAGATAATATTATTGTTTAAAATAAAATGGGATTAGACAATTTGATTCCCACATCCTTAATTGAAGAAAGAATGGGTAATCCATACTTTAGATATTCTTAATTGAATGGGAAAGTTAAAGAGTCAGATCCTATTAAGTACTTAAAAAAATTAAAAAATATATAAAATAAATATTTTAATGGATAGAAGGTATGAGAAAGAAATGAAGTATACTGAAAAAATAAGTTATCATGTATAAGAATTCTAAAATCTCACTAAATATTATCTAACCAATTATATGTTTGAATAAAAAGAGAAATGTTACTAAGAAAATATCAAATCTGTAGACAATTATGTTAATTGTGCATTGCAATTAGTCAATTAATTTAATGAAATGTCAAAGAAATTTAGATATTAAGGACTCTATTTTGAACATAGATTTGTTGATTGTTTGAAACATAGACCAGATGAAGGAGATAATTATAAATGCATCTAAAAATTAGAAAGAGACTTAAAAATTGAAGCCAAGAAAATTACACCTAAGGAATGAGTTATATTAATTTTTATACATCTAACTTAATCATATCAATTTCTATTTTTATTATTGATTATAAATATATAATATATATATGATAAATTTTATTCACATAATTTATATACATTTAAATATTAAACATATTTCTTAAAATTCTTATAATTACTTAATTGAAAAATTCTTAAATAATTGAGAAGCTAATATCTTAAATATTTATTTTACATGAGAAATAAATTTATAAAATCAAGTTAAATTAAAATTTTATGAATTCAAAATTAATAATAGTGCATAATTAGTAATATAAAAAGAGAAGAAATGACTAGAGGTGACTTTTAAGCAATATTGATAAGATTTAAAAAAACAAGTATTTTTAATGATTTAATGTATAAGCAAAAAGGTATTTGATTATATATTTTAGTATTATATAATATATTATTTATGAAATGGAATAGATGAGTATGAATTCAATTAATAGTGTAAGATGATAAATTATTACTGAGTAAACTAGTTTAATTTGAAAATGATTTGGATCATTTCTTTTATAAAATACTATAGTTATTAATATATTTAATAAAAAAATTGAAATTTGAATGAACATATTTGATATACTTAACTCTTAATTTGTTAGTCAAGCTCAATATGATACAATTATTGCATAGTAGAAGGCTTACTAACAATATTATTCTTAGTTATAAAGTGATTCTAGCAAAATAGCTGAAATCTGGCCTATTGTAAGATAAGCAGGAATATTAGATATATGCTATGAGAATTATAAATGTATGTTTTTGATAATTAAATCATTAGATTTTGCAAAAGAAAATAAATTATGTTCATTAGAACCTATTTAGAAGTTGATGAGTAGTACATTTGAAGAAGAAGGGAAAATAGATTATTTAGCTGATTTCATCAAATTTATGGGAATAAAATAAGATTATAGTTTATTTGATTAGGTTAGGATAGTTGTTGAAAAATATGAACTTGAATATGATATATAGGATAGACTTAAATCATTAAATAATTTGAATTTCAAAGAGCAATATTAAACAATTACTATAGAATTATTGAAATTGTATGCAGAAAAGATATATTCAGAAGAAGGTTTCTTAAATGAATTATTAGAATTTGGAGCTGCTTTGGAATCAATTGAACCTTTAGCCAAAAATATAATATAATAAGTACATGCAGATAGAACTATTAAAAATATGTTTGAAGCTGTTCTTTACTATCCTGATACAAGTGATCATCTACATGAATTTAAATAAAGTATGGAAGTAACTAAAATGTATGCAAATATGGATTAATGTTTGTAATAATAAATGAAAAAAAGATTATTAATATCAGGTGTTAATACAGATACTATTTTAAAATTCTATGTTAATTTATTAAAGGTATTATAATTTGTAGATTCAGACTATATGGTATTTGATAAAGTCACTAAACCAATAAAAGAATATTTATTATAAAGATCTGATTTTTTAAGATGTATTATAGGAATATTAACTTAATAAAATTATTCAACTGATAAAGTTATGATATTTGAATAATAAGATTCATCTGATGAAGAATCTACATAAGAGAAAGATTTAACTAGTGTTTTAGTAAGTTTATATGGATCATAAGAAGCATTTATAAGTGAATATTAAAATATGGTTGCTGAGAAGATATTAACACCTAAAGATTTTTCTTTAGAGTAAGAAATAGCTAATATTGAATTAATGAAGATTCGTTTTGGTGAATAATCTATGAATACATGTAGTATTATGATGAAAGATATTTATGAAAGTAAACGTATTGATACTAATATTTAATCATTGACAACATAATTCAATATGTTGAAACCATTATTTTTAAGTAAAACCTTTTGGCCAATTAGTTATGAATTTAAACCTACATTTAAATTACCTCCAGCTATTGAATAATTATTTAATGATTATTAAAAAAGATTTGAAAAAATTAAAACTATGCGTTCTTTATTATGGCATCATGATTTAGGTAGTGTAACTTTAGATTTGACTTTTGATAATGGAGATTTTGAATTTAAATGTTTACCAATTCATGCTTGTATAATTGGATATTTTAATGATGATGATTCTAAAGGATTATATAGTGATGTTTTAGCATAATAATTACAAATGAATCATGAAGATTTGAAAAGAAGAATGTAATTTTGGATTTAAAAAGGAGTAATTAGAGAATAAAAAGGTGAAAATGATATAATTTACTATACAGCTGTTAAAATATATATACCTTAATGTATTATATATTTAATATATTTTAGCTTGTGATGATTTATTAATTGAAGAAATACCTGAAGACTTATTTGTATCATCTACTAATTTCTTGTAATCCAATTAACTTATTCAATAAATTTCTCATAATTTGATTGAATTATTAAAATAAACAGGCACTCTAAAAATTGAGAAGATTGTTCAGTTATTCAAAACAACTTTTAAAAGTGAGTTTTCTACTCCTATTACAGAAAATAATATAAAGGAAGCTATTAAAATATTGATTTAAAAAGGAAAATTGTAAGGATCAGAATACATAGAATTAAAATAATGAATATATCATAATTACAAATTTCTATAGTATTTATGAATTAAATATAAATATATTTCACTCTTTATGAAATATTAGATTAATTCAAATAATCAAAATACAATATTCAAGAGTATTTATTATTTTAAATATATTAAATTAATATTATATAAAAATAAAAGGCTACAAAATATAAAGAGAGGAAAAGAAAATAAAAAATATTAGTAAAAATATACTCAATTCTTTTTATTATTTCAATTGAAATATTTAATATTTAATAATGATAATTGCATTATAATATTATATTAAATACAATATATATATAAAGTATTTCATTAATCAATCTTAATTGAAAAAAAGAAATTTTTCAAAGAAAATGAATGTTTAAATACAAAAAATTTATCAACAAAATTTTGATTTATAATTATTAAAATTTATTTTCTAAATTCCTAATATAATATAATTCATTAATTGCATAATCACTTCAAGTGATCTTATTATTTGTATTAAACATTATATAAATGCTCTTGCTCATTAATTAATACCTCTAGATAACAGTTTCTTATTAATATTCATTAAAATAACAGCAGAATTTTCATAAGTAATCTTTTTCACTTTTTGAACTTTATTTTCTCTTAAAACATAAAATTTATATTCTATATTGATATAGAGTATTTAATGAGCATATTTAGAAGTTGATAGAACTATTCTCTCAATTGGATGGATTTTTATAATCAACAAATATATATCAGGAGATTGTTTACTTAGATCATCTTTTACTTTTGCTCCTTTCTCAAACTTATACATTCATGCTGTTCTTAATTTTAATGGATTTCTAAGATATTGTAATTCTTATTGTAGGTATTCCTGTTTAGTACATTTTAGAAGAAATTTGATTTATTCATTAGATTAGATATTAACAATACATAGTTAGAATCAATATTAACAATTGTTTAATGAATGTTAGCTTCTTTTATTTTAGAATTAAGAAATTCTAAATCCCTGATTTATAAATGATATAAGTGTTTACATATTAATTAAATAAATGAGTTTAACATTAGTATCCTTCAACATTTGCCCATATGTTCTTAGAGTGGTTGCTGCACTTAACCACTTGAAAATTCCATATGAAATAAAATACATTGATTTAGAAAATAAACCAGATTGGTTTGTTAAGGCAAGTCCATTAGAAAAAGTGCCAATTCTTTTTGTTGGTGAGACAGTCCTTTTCGAATCCCTTGTTATTTTAGATTATGTAAATACTCTTGCTCCTCAATCATTACTTCCAAATGACAATTTATAAAAAGCATTGAATAGAGCAAGAGCAGAATTTTCTGGAGAAATCATTGGTACCTTCTGGAGTGTTTTTTCAGCAAAAACTGAAGAGGTATCTATATTATATTTATATTTAGTCATTTAAAAATAGTTTAGCAGACTTGAAATGGTATTTTGAGAAATTAGAAGGCTGGTTATAATAATCAAAATTCATTTATAGTAATGAATTAACTTTAGCTGACTTTGCTTATGCTCCAATATTTACATTATTTGATGCACTTAAGCCCCTTTTGAAATTCAATCTATATGAAGGATTTCCTAGATTATAAGAATATTCTTAAAGTATTTTATCACTACCAGGAGTATAATCAAGTAAAGTAGAAAATTATGATTAACTCATTCAAGAGAGAATCAAAAAAGGAGATCCATTCTTTTTGACATAATGATATACGTTTATTATAACATTTATCAAAAATTATTTAATGTACTTTTTTATATAAATGAGAATAATAAAAATAACATTATACATTTATACTCTATTGAAATATTTATATAAATAATGGATATTCTGTAATTTAACAAATTCTGAATGTTTGTTAATCAAAAATATAATTAAAAATCTAATGAAATTGATTAAGATAATAATGTATGTATATTAAAAATAATCATGGATAATAATTATAAAATAATTAGACTTAATAAAAATAATCTGTAAAGGTTTTTTCTATTTATTTGTTTTATGCTGTTGATTTAATAAGTTATTATTATTTTGGAATGATGGAGTAGAGCTTATCTAATTTGATATTAATAATTTAATCCCATTCTTAACTCTTATATGGTTACATTCTTTGTTTAAGTTTAGAGAATAGAACA